AGATGGAGACAGCCCCCAAAGGTCTTCTGGCCTGCCGGCTCCGTATCCTCAGACACGCAAAGTGTAGACACGCCCATGTTGCGTGTCACTGTGGGGAACAACGGGGTGCTTTGCGCCTCCGGCAGCAGCAGGAGCAGCAGCCATGATGCTAGTAACGGGAGCGGCGGCAGCAAGATTTGCTGCAGCAGCTGCAGGAGCATTGTGTTGCATGTCGTAGACCTCAGAATTCCCCGCAAAGTTGACGGCAAATCAAGTGAGGGGCTTTACACTGCATGTGGCTCTTTATGAAGAGCCATGATAAAGCAACCATGAGCTTTTTTCTGCCATGACAAAGCAACCATGAGCTTTCTCATACCACAAATTTTTGTCGGCGTATTCCCATGCTTGCAGATCCCGAATGTGCATTACGCAGCTGCGCGTCTCCGCTTTCCCACGTTTTCCTTCACCAAACGTTTGAAGCGAAAACATGGGAAACAAGATATCCATCCGCTGATGTGCTTTTATGCGACTGCAGCGATCGGCGTGAGCTTTGTTCTGCGGTCTGGCCAGCCCCCCTACCGGTGGCATCACTGTGCGCAAGCGCCGCATAGCGGCAATTTCTGCATCGACGTGGCAAAGCCCCTGCTTTCTCCTAGCTTGAAGCAGCAGCTGCTGTTTGCTTCTGACAAACTGCTCATGCTCCTCAATCCATCCGATTCGACGGCGGCTGCTGCAAGTACATCCGCTGCGGCAGCCACTACCTCCAGCGAATCAGGAGCCGCTTCTGCGCATTTCGCGGGGAGAAGGAGCGGCACGCTTCGACACTATGCGGGGCATCAGCAGCAGCAGCCCTCGCAACCCCACCACCACCAACCCCACCACCACCCCCATCATCACCAGCATCATCGCCAGCAGCAGCAGCCGCAACACCACCCGCACGAGCAAGCGGCGCAACAGGGGGATCAGGAGTCCAGTCAGAGTTCAAGCCAGCATATGTACGGAGAGTTGGAGCAGCAGCAGCCGCAGCAGCAGCAGCAAGTCTGGGGATATGCCAAGCGCCGTAGCAGCTTAACGCCTCGAGGGGGCTCAAAGAGCACGCGCGAAGCCGTGCAGCAGCAGATGAAGCAGCAGAGACGGCTGTTGCATGCGCTCTTTGAGTCGTCTCGCTTTCTGGCGAATCCGCTGCCCCCTTCTCCACAAGCTCCTTGGTATGTCGGCGGGGAGGGGGAAGAAGGGCAGTCAGACACCGTCCTAGGCGACCTTGAAGCCGTCTTGCAGTGCCTCCACAGACTCCTCAAGGAGGACGTTTACGACAAGAAGGCTGTCAGCTTTTGGTCTTGGCTATTCGCGTTTGTTGTGGTGGAGCTGTGGGGCTGGCAAAATGTGCAGCAAGAGGGGTTTGTTCAGTTTCTGCTAGCTCGGCGGGAGCAGCAGCAGCGGGAGCAGCAGCAGGAGCAGCAGCAGCAGCTTCAGCAGCAGCAGGATCGTTCCCAAGAAGAGCAAACAGCGCAGTTGCAGGGATCTAAGAGGCCAGAGCTCCCGAGAATCCTCAGCTTGAGCTGTTGCTGTCCACCCCTGGCGATGCGCCGCTGCCACAGCGACGCTTGGGGTAGCGGCTGCTGCTGCTGCTATGGCTTTGGGGGGGGAACGGCTGGCGCGTGTGTACAAGACAGAGACAGCAGCAGCAGCAGTCCTTCTCGAGGTCTTTGCTGCTGCTGCTCCCCCTCCTCGCGGGAGGCTGCTTCTCGTCTCCCGCAGCCGCAGCAAAGTCGCTCTACGAGCTGCGTGGAGGCTGCAGCAGCAACTGCTGCAGTGGCTGCTGCTTCTGCTGCTGCTGCTGGAGCAACGGCAGCAGAAGCATCGCAGCAGTGCTTTTTCGGCGGGGAATTCGAGGCTCCACCTCCCCGCCTCCAGGTGCCGCTCATGCCCTGTGTTTCTCCAGCAGCAGAGCCGAGTCTACAAGCAGTGGCAGCAGCCTCAGCTGCAGCTGCAGCGACGTCTGATGTCTGCAGCCCCCTAGGCACCGCATGCTCGCCTTGCAGCGGCACAGCAGAGGAAGAGGCTCTCAAGGCCGTTGCTTTTCCACTGCTGCCGTTCACGGCAGCGGAGACAGCAGAGCAGATCTTGCAGCTGCTGGGGAGGCACTGGAGTGAAAGTCTTGAGGCGAGGAGTGTAATCCGTTTTTGTCTTGGAGCCTTGGCACCCCTCATCCTCGGCATACGCCTCATGCAGGTAAATGCAACAGCATTAGCATGAGCTGCTGCTGCTGCTAATGCTGCTGCTTCTTTGCATCTGGCTGCGCGGCTCTGCCGACGTGTAAAGGCGTTGCGTGCCCAGGGAGGGAGGGCGAGACGTTTTCTGCAAGCTTTGCCGCGCGAGCGGCTGGCCGTCTAGCTAGCCAGCCATGCATGCAGCTAGCTTTTTATGAGGACTCTCTTGGCTTGGCTTTTCTTTGCTGGCTAGCATTTTGGGAGCTAAGAGCGAGGCACCTGCAGAAATTCGCTGGATATATTCTGCGATAAGGAAAGCTCGATTGACACAACAGCAAGCCTACAGGGCGATGCATTGCTCGCGCGGTGTGTGCCGCACGCGTGTTGTGCTGCAGGCTCTTGACGAGATTCTTCGATCTGCATATGCGCGAACTGGGGACCCCTTGTTTGCCGCTTGGGCTGCCTCTCTCTCTGTGACGCCTCACGCAGTTTCTCCCTTGCTGGTGTCTGTGGCTGCCTGCCCTTCGGCGACTACGGACTGCTCTGCAGCGGCTGCGGAAGCAGCGCTTGCCTTGGGAATGGACGCAGCACTTCTCAAGGCGTTCACTGCTTACTGCCGAGCTGGGGGTGATGATATGGCGGCTTTTTGGGAGGCTCTCGGCATTTCGCGTGCGACGTATTGCAGCCTTCGGGAGACAGAAAGACACCTGCAGCAGCGAGCGCAGCCGAAGGCGCAGGAGGAGGAGCAGCTGCAAAGGGGATCGCAGTTGTACATCCCCCTGCAACTTTTTCCAGAGGGGCTTGCCGCGCAGAAGTCGGAGGCAGAGCTGTCTTCTCAGCAGGTTGCGGAGACAGCCTCAGAACGTGCTTCTCCCCTCTCTCCAGCGTATGGCGACGCACCGCTCCCGCCGATGGAAGAGAAGAAGCTCGGGGAAGTTGCGATGCAGCAAAGCGGAGTCGACGTCTCCGTGTCGGAGTATTTGCAGGAGCTCAGCGTTCCCCTCTCGCGGCTGCAGCGTCTCTTGTTTCTTCTGGGGGCACAGCAGCGGGTAGGTCTTGAAGCCTGTCGGGGCAGTGTGCAGGAAGTCTTCTCCGCAACAACCGCGGGGGGGAAAAGAGAAGGAGGCGCAGCGGCTGCAGTCGATCCGAGAAGCTCCCAACAGGTTGACAGCACCCTCAGCAGCAAGGGCAGCATCAACAACAACGAGTGCCGCAGCTACTGCCTTCCCGAAGAATTCGCAAGGGCTCTAGCCGTCCCTTCTGTGCCGTTGGAAGTTGCTCTCTACTGCAACAGACTGCAACAGCCGTTTCAGCAGCCGTCTTCCCATCACCAGCACAACACCGCGTACGATCGGTATGGGGATCTGCTTCTGCAGCTACAGGCAATTGCGAGTCACCCTGCTGTTTCGATGTGCCCTAACGACTTTTCTTCGCAGCAGCGGCAGCAACAACAGCACCAGCAACAACAGCACCAGCAGCAGCAGCAGAAGGAGGAGAATGAGGCACAACACCCTCATGATGAAGAGGCCAACGGCAGCGTTAGCACTTCCTGTGGCTGCTGCAGGAAGCGCTGCAGCTGCCTCGAGCTGCTGCAGCGTGTAGGGGCCGTGCGGCAACTCCTGGCTGTTGCACGAGAGAACAGCAGCAACCGAGGCGAAGAGGCTGCATGCGCCGAGCTGCTGCTGCTTGAAGTGTCGGTAGACTCGCTCTATCAACAGCTAGCGAGCCGTGTGCTGCAGCAAGACGCGTATGCGAATACTCTGCAGCAGAAGATCCTCCTCAGCTGCAGCAACCCCATTCCCTTTTCTCCCGTGCAGCAGCGGCAGCTCGAGATGCTGCTGCAGGCTGAGACACAGGGGGCGTCGAAGGAGCAACTGGTCCTGCAGCGGCAGAACCCGCTAGCCGCTCCCCTGAAGCTGCCGGCACTCACGCGCTCAGGGGCAGATGCAGAGCAGCAGCAGCAGCAGCAGCAGCTGCACCTGCAGCAGCAAGCGCAGCAGTTTAACAGGATGCTGCAGGAGCTGCCGATGCCACCATGTCCTCGACTTTTATTCCCCTTGATGGAGCCTCTCTTATTCACACTGAAGTGTCACTATCCTTGGTAGGCATGAGCCTGAGTAGCAGCTGGTCGTCAGCCCGGCAGCCGTGTAGCTCTCAGGATCTCACAGAAAAACAGAAAAAAAATGGCGCAGAAGTCTTGACTGTGATTCTGCACGCGGCATGCACGGTGATTGAAGACGACGCCCTGTCTCCCGTGATTATTAGGCAGACTCCATTCAAGAGCAGCGTAGCAGCTGAGTTTCGTCTTTGCGCCTGCAGGTTTGCTGAAGTCTCGGTAATCGCAGGGGACTGGTCTGCTTTAGATGGGGAGGCTGTGGAATGCCACCACAGCTGCCAAGGCTGCTGCAGCAGGCGTTTGATTGCACACGGCAAAAGAGAGGCTGCAGTCCATACAGCAGCAGGTGCAAAAGACAGGGAAGCAGCCCGTGAGTCTCACGTCGCCTTGCAGCGACTCCTGCGGCGTGCTCTGCTGGAGCGCCTTGGACGCGCCATAGGACGCTTAGTGGACTTGAGCCAAGAGCACTTCAAGGAGAAGCTTCTGTTCTTTCTTCAGGTGGGTATCCACGTGCAGCACCGCATGGTAGAGGCTCTGGGAGCTGGCTGCCGTTTCCTTCATTTTTGCCTGCCTACCTGCGATCGCGACTTCTCTCGCACTGCAAGTGTCGCGACACTGAAGGGGATTTACGGGGAGGCGTCGATGTGAAGGGTGGAGGGAAGGGGGGTGAGGAGGGGAGAGGAAGGGGTCGCGCTTCAAGGCTTTGTGTTGCTTGCTGCGTCTCCAGCGGCGTTCAACGGCAGCATGCGCACTGCTTGCCGGTCCTGTGGGGTGCTTTTACGCAGGCAGCTAGCGAAAATTCTGCAGTCGCTAGCTGGATTGCTCTGGGTGTCGTCCAGCAATCGTTACTGCACTCTGTGGCAACCGTAAGACGCTTTTCTCCTAGGGGCGCTGCTTGAGACTGTGGCTGTGCCGGTATGCGCTAGCCAGCTAACTAGCGACGTTGTGGATGCGTATAAAAAGGCGCTGATGCATGTAAGACAGTTTTTGTGTTGCCGCGATGCATGCTTGCCAAGGTGGTACGTGTTGATGAGGCATGCTTTTTTGTGCTTCTCACAGCTGGGGGAAAAGACTCGCGAGTTGCGACGTATCGCCCGTCTCTGTCTGTCTGCGTCTCCGCAACTCAGGTTTCTCACCTCCTCGCCTTCACAGACTCCATTTCCCCCGGATGCATCCCCATGCCCTTCACGGTAGCACCCACAGAGGCCACTGCAGCAGCAGGATCTTTGCTTTTTCTGCCTTATTTGACTACAGCAGCGGCTCTTCCGCCTTCGCCACAGCCCCTTCTGCTGGCTGCCGTCTGCTGCAATGCAGAGGAGGAGATACCCCCGTATGTGAGGGCTATCTTGCTCTGTCCTGCTGCAGCTGCCTTCCTCCCCGCTGCAGCGCAGCATGCAAAGCTGCAGTTGCTGCTGCTACTGCGTGAGATTCAGCATCAACAAGCCCTTATTGAGCAGCAGTTGCAGCAAGAGGGAGTCCTTCCAGCTGCAGAGGCTGCGCAGCTCGCGGAGGCAGCAGCTGCCGATGCAGCAGCAGAGCTCTCAGAAGAAGAGAACGAGTTCGCGGCACCTCATCCGTGTGCAACTTTTGCCGAATTATTCCTGGGGGCAGCAGCCGCTGCAGCAGCCGGGGCAGCGCGAGAGGCGGAAGCGCATGGCAGTCGCTCGGCATTTTCGCTCGTCGCGACGGCTTCATTCGTTCCTGGCAGCAGTAGCAGCTTGTTGATCCGTTGCCGGACGCAGCGGTGCTTCTTTGCGGTGTGCAGAGACCCCGCTTACTTCTTGCTGTTGCTGCAGCAGCTGCAGCAGCAGCACCAGCAGCTGCAGGTGCAGTGCTGGCTAGGACCCCTCGTGCATGCGCTGGAGGGTGGAAGGACAGTGTATCCGTCTCTACAGCGCCTTCTCCAGCAGCTGCCGATTCGGCAGAGATACTGTGTCGTGCTGGAACGCCGTCAGTTCGTACTGGAGCAGCTCCGCTTAGCCGAAGAATGGAAAGACACTCCGTCACTGCTTACACGGGATGCGGAGGTGTGTTGCAGCAGCAGCAGTTTCAGTGGCAACTCCGTTCGCGTGCGGAGCACTGTGACACAGCCGAGCAAGGCTCAAGGCCTCCCCGAGCATCTGCCGCTCCTGCTGACGATTTCAGCCCCCAACATTTCGCCGTTGCACTTGCCGGAGCTTGCGGAAGAAGAGCCGAGTCTGGTGGCAGGCGAAGAGACAGAGGCTGCGGCAGAACTGCTTGCAGAAGCAGCCGCTGCAGCGGCTGTGCGACAAGGCAGCGACGAGTCGCTGCTTCTTGGGACCAGTCCTGCAGGGGATTTGCCGCTTGGCAGTTGCCCAGTGGTGGGATCGGGAGCGAGCGCTCCAGCTGCCACTCCGCTTCGAGCGAGCAAGACAGCTCGTCTGGAGCCTGAAGGCAGCAGCAGCAGCAGCAGCAGCAGCAGCAGCAGCAATAAGAAGGGGTGTGCAGCAACGACTCCGCGAGGCGAGGCGTCCATGAGGCCTGCGCTGACGGCAACTGCCCTGGGATCGATGCGGCGGGTGGGAGGCGCTTCTGGCACGCGCGCTTCGATTCCAAAGCCTGTGGTTCTCGAGCACAAGATGTGTGCAAGTGTCTTTCAGACGCAAGTGCGCCAGCGGCCTTTATTTCTTTCTTTGTTTGATGAGGCCCGAGATGAGCCGGGGATAGAAACGGATGATGCAGACGCAGAAAGCGAAGGCGAGTTCGAGAGGAGGGCGGCTGCAGCGGCAGCAGCCGCTGCAGCCGCTGCTTTGGACGCCCCTCCTCCGGCAGCAGCGAAGGCTATTGCCGCAGCTCGTGAGTACAGCAGCAAGCGACTGCGTAGGAGAAGCAAGGGCCGACTGCACAGCAGCAGTCTCCTCTCGCAAGGCTCTGGGGACAGGCAGAGAAGCTCTATTCGATGGTTCCTCGACCCTTCCTGCTTTCAGCCGCATCATGTGGGTTCCAAGTGCCTTGGCATCGCAATGCTGCAGCACACCCAGCTGCACGACTCTCTTGCAGCTACGGCGGCAGTTCCCTTTAGAGCTTTGGAGTGCTGTCTCGCTTTCCCTCCGAATGCCTCTCTGCGAAAGGCCCTCCAGCGGATTTGTGCCGCCCTAGATCTTGCAGCGGAAGTCGCAGAGCTAAGGCAAACGAACGCCGCTGCAGCTGCTGCTACTGCTGCGCGCGCAGCAGCGGCAGCCTCACGCGCGTTGGGGGAGAGGCCTCCGGATGGGGAAGCCGCTGCGGCAGCAGCTGCGGCAGCAGCAGGAGGGGAGGGCCCTTTGCTGAGAGGTTTTCTGCAGCTTGAGAGGCTTCTGCGGCGGGCGAGACACTTGGTCCATATGCTGCAGGCTCCCCCTGAAGTGCTGCACGATTTGCACAACTTCTGCGGGGGAGGGGGGGCGACATCCGACGGTTCTTCGGATACAGCTGTCTCGCCGAGCTACCGCCTACGACTGCTGATGCTGCAAGACACGCAAAGGCTTTGGATAGGCATTCTCTCGGTGTGGGCTACCCTCTTCTCCCCCCCTGTCGTGCTCGCGCTGCAGAGGGCCAAAGTCAAGCACTCAACGGTATGTGGCATAAATAAATGGATGGCTGCTAGCTAAAGCTCTTGAATATAGGAGTCCGTGTGTTTTCGGGGGGAAGGGGAAGAAAGGGGAAAGGGAGGAAAGGGGGAACGTGGATCCCATGCTGCTGTGCTGTGCTGTGCTCCGACCATCATGGTGGGCATAATATAATAAGGCAACGTCAGCGTAGCGCTGTGTGCTTGGCGTTTGAGGAGGGCAGACGGAGGGAAGGAGGGAGGGGGGAGCGAGGGAGACTGTCGCTCGCTTGCCGCTCTTGCAGCGGGTACAGCCGTCGCTGCTGCTGCTGCTTCTGTTGCTGTTGTTGCTGATCTACAGCAGCAGCAACAACTAGAGGACTGGCGTTCAACCTTTAGCCCGCACGAACCTTTTGCCTTTTGTGTGTGTAATGATGGTGATGATTTGCTCGCAGGTACGCGTCGCCGTGCTGATTCAGCTCATTGAATGTGGCAGTGGTGCTGTATCCTTCCTTTGCCGTTCTTCAGCGCCTCTGCCCTTTCTGGGGGATGCGATTAGTATGAGCCAGTCCAGCAGCAGCAGCAGCAACAACAGCAGCAGCAACAACAACAGCAGCAGCACCATCAGCAGCAGCAGTTTTGTGGCAGGCGAAGTAGTTACCGGGCTTGGGGTGTTGCCAAGAGAGACTCTTCAAGGCGTGCGCGAGATACCAGGTATCCCTGGGCAGTTTTACGTTCGTTACAATACGCCGGAGCAGGGGGGCGGCTATTCCGATTACTCTCTGGAAGTCTCTACCGGTGCGGCTGCCGCAGATGCAGATGAACCTGAAAAAACGACGCCGCGCACGGCTTTCCTCCATACGGCTGCCGTCCGATTTGCATGCCCTGAGGCGTACCCGCACAGATCTGCTCTTGTTTCCATGAGAGGAGGAGGAGCAGGAGAAGAGGACGCAGCGTCCTCAGCAGCAGCGGCACCAGGGCAGTTCTTCGCGTCGGATGCTGATCTCGACACCCCGTCGAGTCTCCTCGGCACGCCTCACCAGGAGCAGCAGCAGCGGCACGAAGCGTGTGGCTGTTGCTGCCGCGCGGCAACAAGGTGCAGCTGCATAACAACGCCCTCCGGGATAAAGATGTCGCAGCCGCGGATGCTGCGGCTCAGCAGCAGAAGCGTTGCGTTGCAGGCGTCGGCAGCTGCGCTGCTGCTGTCAGCAGACTTCAGCGTGGAGGGTCTAGAGGGCCTCATGGCAGTAGATGGCATGGCTGCCAGATTGCTGCCGCAGCGGCAGCCTCTGCTGCTGCGGCGGGAGCAGCGCAGGAAGCAGCAAGGCCTGATGCACCTCCAGCAGCAGCAGCAGCACTGCTACGCGCAGCAGCAGCAAGGAGGCCTAACGAGCACTGGAGTGCAAAGGGTTCGCCTTAGCTACAGAGACTGCCGCTGGCTCGAAGACAGTGCTCTGCGGAGAGACTGCCTTCTTGCGGCCTCTACAGCCGCCGTCGAAGCCGAGGCAGCCTTGGGGTACCCGCAAATAGTGCATGGCATTTGGTGCCCAGCAGAGGATGCAGACTCCACCGTAGTGGGAAGGGGGGCAGATAGTGCAATAACGGCAGGCGCAACTACTGCCCCGAACTCTACTTCTTGGCATAGTGTAGGCAGGCTAACAGTTCTCTCGTCTCGTTCGGTGGTGCTGCCCGAAGGAGACAGCTGGGGATCTGGCGATCCTGACGCTCCTGAAGGTCTGCACCTGTGCGAAGATATTCTCCTTCCTGCACGCCCCCCCACCGCACCAGAGTAGCAGGCGGTGCTCGACGGCCCAGTAGGAAGGGGGAAGGGGGGGGGATGAGGACCTTATCAAGCAGCCAGCCTTAACGCACCGGCCAGCGAAAATTCCGGATATTGGCGTGCCTCTCTCGGGTAGAAAGCGCTTAAACGCTCTATATAGCGGGGGGGCCTCAAGGGGGGGTGGATATCCTCAGCAGCTCAAGCAGCGTTTGCCGCATTATAGGAGAGGTGCTTCCCCGCACGCTTCTTCACCAGCATCCTTTGTGCATGCATCACCTTTATGTGCTCTTTATCGAGGAATTTATCTCGAGGCTTCCATTGGGATGCTGCTTCTAGTCTCGGTCTGCTTCCATGTGCAAACATTTCCAGCAGCTGTGCAGCTGCGTCTCCTATATTTCCGCTGTTTTCGTACGATTTCGGAGAGTTCTCTGTATATACATAATATATATATATACATATATTGTGGAGCTAAGCTCTCTAGCCCCGCGTGCTTGCGAAGCGCTTCTGCATGTGCATGTGCATGTATGTATTGTATTTATGGCACTAGATCTGTTGTACAGGTTGTTGCACAACAACCGCTCTCTGACTCGGGTGGCCAAACGTTGCTAGCAACTGCGTTGCGCAAGATCTTCCTGATTTCGGTTTTTCCCTTCCCCAGTATACAGATGTGATGACGCTCAAGCTGCTGCAGCAAGAATGAGCAGAGCTAGAACAGTGGAAGGGCAGCAGTATTGTTTCAGTAGAACAGGAGCGCTCATCTTGGCGTTGCCGTTGTTCGTTCTGTGCACAGTCCCTTTGATCCATTTAAGGCGTGGCCAGCAGCTGACTTCTTTATTTTGGCTGTGCCTTTCTCTTAATCTGTGTTTCAGTTTGTATTGGTAGCCCGCATGTTCGGCTGGATGCCGTGTCTCACCCTCGCAATCTAGCTCTGCATCCCTTCCCCTTGCAGCGCGTCATATCTCGCCTTGCTTAACGACACATAGAGCACAGAATAGCTAGGGAGGGAGGCTCACACGAAACCGCACCAACAACTGCCTCGAAGCTCTACCAGCAAAGGCAGAAAATCCCTCCTGAGCTAGGCGGTAAGCATATATATACATGTGAATATATATATATATATGCATATATACTTATGTAGGGGACTTATAGGACTTCGCAAGCGGACGTAGCCGCAACAAGCAATACTCACACACACAGAGGGAGAGAGAGACAGGCCGAGCGCCTGTCGAAGGCCACGTTGTGACGCAATATCCCGACGTTGCGACTTCGAACAGAGCGCGTCTCTCTCTGCCTGGGCTTCTCGTTTCGTGTAACAAGGGTAAGGGGATTATACTACACAGCGACGATTTCAAAGGACATGCACAGTACAGGGAGAGGTACAACAGCGTGTTGCTCGAGGTCAGAAAGGAGTAGATACACAAAACAAGAGAGGCAGATGAAGGTGAAAGCAAACAGCGGGATAGAGATAGAATGGCTCGCACACACAAACAGACAGCTGCAACAAAACAGCGCGTCTGTAGCGGGCTAAGCTATACTTGGGAACACAAGGAAACAGCCAAGCATTGATCGTCTGGACTGGCAGCTCTTCGTGGCTGATATTGCTGCATTGTACAGTTGCTGCATTAGGGTAATAGTCAAAGCTGGGTGGGGGAGGCGTCAATGCTTCGCGGAACTAGCAGCAAACCCCCGTCCTGCTTACAGGGTCTGCAGCCACGCGCATTCCAGCTGCCCGTCTCCCGTTATACCGAATTCCAGAGGGTTTGATCAGGGCAGCAAATGGAGACAGCTCATCTGGAAGCCTCAGTAACCTTTTCTGCAGCCTTTAACCAATAGTCTACAGCTGAACGTCTCCCTACCGAGGCGTAGACGGAGCTTCTCAGCGTCGACAGAAGCGCTTCAGCCTCTCCTGCATGCACTTTCTTCCCTTTGTAGCAGCCGCGGAAAGAAATTTTCAACACGCAAGTGGGACCTTGTGACCATGCTGTGGAAGGATGCGTTACAAGGGGAACATTCTGGACGTGCCTCTCTTAAACATGTAATTCCTCCGTGCTTCTACTCTCGTTACCCATGAAAGGTTGTGCTCCTCTGCAGTCATACTCCCTCCCCCTATCTATTGTTGCCCCCTCCTGCCTGAACCTTTTCCACCAATGCTTCTCCACCCCCTCATTTTGGCAGCTTTTGCTTTACCGCATGGTTGGCTGTCCACCAATTAATCCGCCTACGGCGCCCTTCATTGCCTCACCCCTTTTCGACTCAATGCTGCACGCCGCTTGCAATATGGCTCGACAGAACACCCAGATGCACCTGTCGGCGTCTGGCTACCCCTCCTTCTAAATTGCTCCTCTCCTCATACCTGCCAAACATCTGCTTCCTTTCCAACAAAATACGTTACTTCTCCCTCCATACCCTAACGAGGGTCTGCTAGCTGGATGCATCGCCGCAGACAGAACGCCCCTATCCCTCCCTACTATCGCGCATCGCTTCGCTTGGCCATGCGCCTGCCCAACTGAACAGTACAACAAGTGGGCAGCACCCACCCCCTTAGACCCTTTCGTCGCTTAAGGCGGTGTCCGCCGTGGTTGAAGAGCTTTGCGCTCTGTACCGACTGAGCTCTAAATCGGCAAGTGGCGGTTGTTATCCAAAGGCTCTTATGCATCGAGAGAAGGAAAATATGCAGACGCAGCTGCTGCACGCTGTGCCGAGTACAGATCCCGCTTAGCTGCCTGCCACACTTGCACAACCCCAATGTGCATCAGGATGTGGCAGCCCCAGCAGCAACAAAAGCAGCACGTGAATTTGCCGCTGTCGATGATGGATGCCGACGCCACAAGAAACTAGCAAAGAAATATGGAGCGCGCTATTGTTATTTCGACACAGCAGCAGTCGCATCATGACAGAGAAGCTGCTGCGGCAGAGAGCCTCTGTTGCAGTGCCGCAGCCTTTCGGAGGCTGTTAAGTCTGTCAACTATAGAATACATGAAAATACAGTTGTTGCTTCATCTCCCGTGCTGACACTGTCAGGCCGCCCGAACCCTCGCCCTCCTCCCCTCCCCCTCTCCCTCCCTCCTTCCTCCGTCCTACACTGCCGCTAGTAGTGCTTTTGTTGCTGCTCTCCAGCTGTGACTGCTGCAACCGACACTTGAAGCACCACAAAATGAGCCATATACGGGATGCACGAGCGGTGCAGAATTGAGCACTTTGCAAGCGCGCTTATATCCCTCTGCCTCCTTATCCATCCATACCGTCCGCATCTAACGCTCGCTTTGCTTGAGAATGGATGATGCTCCTCTCCGTGTTCGAAAGAAGCCACACACTACGCGAAGGATGAGAAAATTCGGGTACTACCCCTCGCCTTGGTCTCTAGAAGCCAGCCGACCTCCCCCACTGCTGACCCGGCAACATTGCGATAGTGCCCTGGACATAGAGCGAGTTTGGCTCGCTAGCTAGCCCCCTAGTTCTTCCTGCATCTAGCCAGACAGGTAGCACGCACCAAACTAGCTGCTAATGGCGGGGCCGCCGCAGAGCTTCAGCAGCATCTGCTGGAATTCTTCAAAGTCAACCTCCCCATCGTTGTTCTTGTCGACTTCTGCCAGCACGCGGCGCCATGTCTCCGAGTCAAACTCGCTCACTCCAAAGATCTGCAAAGAGCAGACGGACATGACATATCAGGACAATTTCCTGCGGCTTCTTTCCGTACGCCTCCGTGTTTCGTGCAAGCACAAAAAAACGCAAGCCGAGTGGCACGACGCGCAGAAGGCGTCAACAAGCCGCTACGGCAGACACCAAAAATGCAAGGCCGGTGGCAGCAGACAATACGGAAGGGCACGAGGCAGCACACAGAGAAAAACGGCCTGCCATAAACGCAACGAACCGATAGACAACGACAACCACCAACTATAAAAGCGCTTCCCCACATGCGAAGGCTACTTTGGGGATAGAGAAATATACTTTTTTCCCCATACCGGCACCACCACAAAATACACATTCATTGCCTTTCAAAAGCACCGTTTGTCTGCGTGCCGACAAACCCTAACCACTCAAATACATATACGTACATATACATACATACAGCCGAACTCTGATCACTATAGATATCCCTTGGCTCTTCCTGCGCTTCACGTTAGACACATGCACGCAGAACCGCCTTTCCATCACCCCACATCACCCAATGGTAAAGTGTGCAAACACTAACGGTGGCTAGCTCCGAAGATGATATTTTTCCAGAGCCGTCCGCATCGAACATGCCGAAAGCCCTCTCTAGTCTCTGTCTCGACAACAGCGTCTTGCGATCCATGGCGACCGTAACAAACTCTGCACAGAGAAAGGACACACATCGCACCCACAATAAAAGCAGAAAAGGCGTATGCTATCCCCCGCAGCTTCATAAAGACCACCGAAAGTACAGCCCATCCGAACAGGTCACTCTACAACTGCATGCCATTCAAGTAGATGTCCTTTCACTTCATGAAGGTATGCCTTCCCACAACGAAATCCATGTACAGGAAGATACACATAGCTCGCAAATAAGAAAGAAGCATACACACATATAAATTGATCAGCCACGGTACAATGCACAGTCCAACATGTGTGCAGCAAACACAGACACACGCACACAGAGAAAGAGAGAGAGGGACAGACACGCACACGCGCATGCGTCTTTCCTGAGGGAGGCAGAACAGGTATTGCGCAAGTATACACCAAAAAGCAAAAGGATACATCCGCCCTTCAAGTTTCCAAGTGTAAACATGTTCACATACAGATGTGCATCCAAGCACCCACAGGCACCAGACCTGAATATTCAATAAATCCGTTCTTGTCGAAGTCTACGGCTTCCAGAACTTGATCTACTTCATACTCGATTGCACTCTGATCCAACGCAGAGACGTCTTCGCCCTTTAGTTTCATGAGCTCCACGTAGCCCTCCATCAGTTCTGCAGACCGCGTGCGAATAAATACCAAAAACACAGCAAAAATCTTTCCTCCCCCAGCTCGTGGATGCGCCACCTATACGTCTAACGGCTGCTTGCAGGCTTTATAAGCCAGCTCGACGGCGGCTACACTGCAACGAGCGGCCAGAAAGAGCCTGTCTGACCAGTCGCAACTCACCCTGTTTATCTAGCTGACCGTCCCCGTTCTTGTCCATTTTTTGAAAGATCTTGTTGAGTTCAACAGTTTCCTCATTCGTTGTGAGCTTGCTGCCCATGTAGAGCATCGCCGCAGCCGCCAGCTTCTGTGTGCCTTGGAACTGTCTGTGCACCGCAGAAACCACCACAGCGGTTTCAACAGCTGTTGCAGCAGCAGCAGCAAGAAAGAGCAACGCCCAAGCACATCAAAAGGAGCCGGTAGGCAGCTCCAAAGAGGGGAAAATTTCAAGGAAGGCACGAGGCAGCGTGCAGCCGCAACTACCTGCAGCGCTCCCCTCTCGTTTCCGTAGGGCGCAAACCGCCGTGCATCGACTTTTAGTACTCTGTACGTGAGCAACCAGCTAGGGTACTGTACACTTAACGAACCTAATATTCAGGATGGTGCTCTCGAGCGATGGCACGTCAATGGAATCTGTATCTGCATCTGTCTTCTTCAACCACTCGTGCTCTAAGGCATCCCGCGCGGAAATGCGCATGGTCGGCACGTAGGCGAGCATCTTGCGAATCAGGTCCTTCGCCGGCTCGCTCACCTTCTTCCACTGCGATAGGCACCACAGAGCAAACCCCAGCGCGATGCTGCCCATGGAGCGGAAAGTGATAGCACTTGATAGACAGCCGGAGCACAACAGGAAGCCCGCAGCAATCGACACGCCAGGAGGTAACTTCCTCTTCGCGACGCCAATGCAAAGAGATCACGAGAATGCAGCAAGGCGCATAAGGCACAAGCCAAGGAGGTTTTTTGTTGACACGGACAGCTATGGTATTTGTAGACCTGCACGGATAGATATGCGATATATGCACAAAAGACACCCAACGAAGGAGAAATAAGGCCACTCCCACAACAGAAGGAATCGGGTTGCTTGTTAGCAGCGGACCTGTGGGAGATCGAAAGTGAACTTTCCCTTCTCAACCTTTTTCAGAATATCGAATTCATTCGCGCCATTAAAGGGCGGACACCCTGGTCAATCAGGCACACTCAGCAACAGAGACGCACTTTCAGAGGCTTGTAGGGGGAGAGAGCGCTAAAAACCATGAACAAAAAACACTTGGACATAGAGAGAGCGAGCGAGAGAGAGAAAACAATAATCATTAAGATAATAAAGTCTATCTGCTCCCACCCCTTCCGAGCTGCTGTTCAACTAACGTTTGCGCAAGGAGACACAATACACCCATCAGCCCTAAAACCCACATAGCACTTACAACAGCCCAGAAACATCTATGAACCCCGATGAGAGACAGCTTCTCCCCTCCCCCTCCCCCCATCTTTCCTCTTTCCCCGCTCTATTCGCCTTACCAGAGAGCAGGATATATAAAATGACGCCAGTAGACCAAACGTCACACTTCTCATCGTACGTCCCGTGAAGCACCTCGGGAGCAATGTAATACGCCCTAATACACAAACAGGCACACGCATAAACACACATACATACACACAGTAGCAGCAGTAGTAGTAATAATGATAAAGCATTCGAGCAAAGAAACGCCGGACGCACGCCTTGCCAAGATACATAATACGCAGCCCCTGCGCAGAGCGCACTCAGCGTTGGCAGAGCAAGCAAGGGTAACAGAAAGATGGTCTGCACATGGCACTATCTGCCAAGCAAGCGAGAAAGAGAGAGAACGAGCACCTACGTCCCGATTTTATCCTTCATCTTCTTCGTTGACTCGAAGTGGGTCGACAGGCCAAAGTCAATAATGCGGATATTGGCGTCCTTCCGCTTATTCTCGAGCAAGAGGTTTTCCGGCTTCAAGTCACGATGAACGACCTTGTTTTTGTGCATATACGTTATCCCAGACAATACCTGCCGAATAATGCGGGCCGCATCCACCTCGCTGAAGCACAAGAGCGACAGACACACCTGCAGCATCGTCTTGACCAGCGCTCTCCTTCCTTCCGCGAGAAAAAAAATCACTTCTAGTCTGGTCTCAGGCATAAGAAGACGCGGTGATATATTTCTGCACGGACGTCGACCAATCAGAGAGAAACCCTCATTAAACAAACCTGAAGCGCTTTCTGCTGATGATTTCATCGAAAAGCTCTCCGCCTGTATACACCTCCGTCACAAGGTAAAAGTACCCCTTATCCTCGAAGAACTCATAGAGCTTCATGATGTTTGGATGATCAAGCTTCTTCAAAAGCTCAACCTCTTTTAGCAGTAACTCCTTGTCAGTCTTCTGCTTCACCTGACGCTTCGATATCACCTTGACTGCATACTCCTGTAGCCAAAGGGGGAAAAACCACAAAAATACATATTTTTATGACCATAAATATGAGTATGTACAATACATACACATATTTATACACGTCCATATATACATATATATAAATATGTATGTGTTTGGGTATCGAAGGAGCTTGCGTACCCCTGACGCCAATCGGGAAGCAGAAACTCAGAGCGACATAGAGGCACGGATACTGACATGAATATGTATATCAATATACACATATATGCATGTATATACGTATGGGTAACGAGCAAAAGACGGAATGGCATATTGAGCACATGGCTGCACTTTTAACAACGGCCCTCCCCAAAACTGGAAAGACCACTAGCCAGCCATCAGCACAGCGATTGGAATTAAGGACAGAGAGGCGTCTGGTGGAGGCGGCACAAGAGGAATTTCGAGGATTCTAAAGAGCAGATGTACACACGCACGCATACATACGTATCGGGACAAAGAACGGCATAGAATGGTGTTTTGCATGCGAAATGTATGTATATACATATATATACATGTATATATGCATACGTATATACATATACATCTTGATGATGCAGAGGCCACAGTGAAATGTAGAAGTGTACATTCAGATGGCAAGGAAAAGAGAGGGCACAAGAGAGAAGGGCGTTCTTCTTCTTGCCCGCCTGCATCCTGCATGCATGAAGGGCCGTTGTGCAAGTCGATGAAGAACAAGCGGAGGACTGGCATCCACGGAAGTAGAGCAAGCAGATATTAGGCATATGGGGAGTGCGAAAAGGCCTGATCTCGTGTTCAGTGCATCGCCACCCCCACAGATACAAACACAATAGGCGCCGTACACGGCGCGTTTGCTTGTTAAAAAAATGTTGTTGCGTATGTGTGTATATATATATATATGCATGCGGGAGTAGGCCTATAACAAATGTGCCATGTACACGACGCACCTGTCCTGTCACCTTGTCCTTACAGAGAATCACTTCCCCAAAGCTGCCCTTCCCTAGAACACGCTGGCCTTTGTACCTGAGCACTCAGAGACGATCTGCCCCACAGCAGGCGTTTCAATCTGAAACAGCTACTACTCAAGAACGCGACTGCGTGCGTCTGTTACCAGACAAACGACGGCCGCAGAGCTCGAGAGTTCTCTGTCGCCAAAAAGTGATTACTGAAGGGACGCAAGTAGATAGACATGAATGCCACTCAGAAAGGCAAAAGGCAGCACATGAGGGGGGACGGCGGAAGACGAGGTGGACTTCGTGCGAGGCTAGAAACCAAGGCAAGAAGGCTTCAAGACAAGCCACAAAAAAGCATGCTGCTGCTGAGAGAAGGCGTCAGGAGGCGGTACTGAAAAGCGAGACTGCACGGGCTTCCTTGCGCCAGATGACTCCCTTACTTCCAAAAAAAATTTTTTGGAGGGGGGCGGGGGGAAACAGGGGCACGGCGGGTCAGAGACACCATGCGAGGCGCAAGAAGACAAAACAGTTCTGGTTCTTTTTTAAATACAGAGGTGCAGAAAGGACGACAGGATGCGCCTACCTGTCACTGAACGCTGCCGTTGAGTGTTGCACAAACATTCCAGGAGTGGCCGCCAACTTGTCGTCCTTCGTGGCTGCAACCGCACAGAAATGTGACAGACATGCACATCGCCGTTGACACTCCCGCCTTCAGGGAGGTTTCTGACGCTTGTGCCGTAGAAAACCCTCAATTCGCCCCAGCCAGCGGGCGATCGAACACCAAATCCTGCGATAGCAGCCATGGCTGCTATCGCTGTTTCGCCAAAGGTGGCAGCAACACATGGAGCAGAGATATGCATAATCGACTTGACAGGTGCGTTTGCAGAAAATAGCGAGAAAACACACGCATCAGTTAAAGGGCCTCCAGGGAGAATCGACAGTCCCTCAATGCCGCTTGACCCCCAGTCCTCGCAGCCTCTGCCTCCGCAATTGATCTTTCGAGCTTAAAGGGCACGGAAGCGTTTCTGCTGCTACGAGCCCCATAGCAGCCGCACGAATTCAATAGTATTGACGCCAAAGAAGTGCTTGCAACGTACCTGCCTGCTGCGGCTGCCTGGAGCGGTTCTCTCCCGGCAGGGAGGATTCTTGCTGCCCCATGGTGAATTCCGCGATACGCCACTCTCCCAAAAAAACTGAAATGAATCGGAACAAGCCCCTTTTAGAGAAGAAGTGACAGATATGCTACGGCAAGCACGAACTGCGGCGGCAGCTCTCCCTGGGCAGCCACACCGGCAAGGGATTGGAGAGAGAAGAAGGCACGTGCTGCCGCAGCAATGCACCAAAGCGGCAAACAAATAAGAATTCTAGTTTAGGGAGAAAACAGAAACATATAGGCGAAGGAGCAGCAAACACAAAAGCAACAGCCGCAATGCAGCTGCTCACAGTCGCACACTCAGCCCGAACCTTGTGGCTGCTGCTGCTGCCTGGCTGTGCTGCTGCTGCTGCGGCAGCTGTTGCTGCTTTTGCTACCCCACCAATGGTAGTGTTTTTAATTCAAGCCTCACAAATAGTGACAGCGGAGCTAGTCCTATTTCTTCCTAGTCTCACTACCGCCAGCCACAGCAGCACTAGGAGCCGCCACGCCAAAAGCGGCGGTATTACAAGAAACAGCGCGAGCACAGCTGTATCGCCCCTGCAACAATGGAAGCACTAGCTGCCTCGTATCGGAAAAAGCATGCTGCCAAATAAAGCAGCAGAAATGTGCAATTACAAAGAGGGAGGAAGCCAATGGAATCCCCTAAAAGTGTAGTCCATGCACCCCTGCTGCTGCTGCCACTACGATGCACTCGGGGCCGTGGCTGGTCTACGGTGAAGCTGTTTTCCTCTCTTCTACCAGATGTGTATACAGCTATCTGCAAATTTAGTTTAGCATATTCAAGTTGTTGGGGTTTTTGCTGGTACTACTGCTGTATCTGATTGCAGTTATTGCCGTTGCTGCGCTGGTTATGCTGGTGTTCGGATGGAGGGGGCGTGTGTCTGTGGCGAGGGTGACAGACGTCTCTCTCACTGCAACCGCTGGCTGTACACCCCTAGTTAAATCCCTGTTTGCTGATTCCAAGAAGCAGATGGGCTTTACAGGGACTGAGGGTGGCGTTTCTGACTCTGAAGTAGCTTTACTGCAGGAATCATCGAATGTGACGGCAGCGAACCAAGCTCTTCTTGGACACTTGCTACACCAGTGGGAACATTGAATCCAAGTACAAGTGAGTACCCACATCAACACACCAATGACCATGTAATTAATGTGTCGTAGAGGACCGCTCGTGTTGTACCACAACAGCGTGTACAGTGTACCTGCGCTTGAAACTTGGTATGTGCAGCTACCTGTGTGCAAGTACCTGTCATGCTGAAAGGGTATGAAAAAGCACCCCCTAGCTATTTTAGCTCGTCCGATGATATGCTCTGGCAGAAAAGGCACGTATGACCCCGGTTGCGGCAAGTTTTGATAGGGTGAGGTCTCGTACTTGGCATGTCACGAGGAACTTTACAGTTCGGTTGCCTCTTGAGCCGTACGTAGCCCTTGTTTTCCTCTGTTGCTTGCGGGCAGATTGATCCAAGCTAGCACAAGGGTGTCCATCAGCCTCTGGTAGCTAGCGGCCTTTCGTGGAAAGCCGGCGTGAAGCTGCGAATTCTACCGCCTAAGGTGTCATTCAGAAATCATCTCATCACGTTTAGAGCAAACGCTGCTGCAGTGCATGCCAGTACAGCACAAAGAAGCATGCATTAAGCTATATATAACGCTCTACTAAAGCTATCCGTGGGCAGGAGCCTAATTCCAACCAGCACTAGACTGGTAACAAGTGGATTCTCGTATGTCTTTCGAAAATCTGCCCCCTTCTGCTCGCGCCAACACGTAGTTCCTAGAATAAGGAAAGAGTGACACCTTGCAAGCTAGTGCCTGCATTCTCTAAGCACTCCAAGCCTTCACAGGAAGTTCCACATAATATCTAATGCACACGCACATCGAGCTAACAGCACTAGTCTAAAAAAGATTTTCGCGACGACACGCGAATCACTCAGTTTTTTCTGAAACTTTACTTACTACCTGGTGTAGTGGGAAGTTTTCAAGTGGAGCTGGGTCCGATGTAGCTTTGCCCCCGTTTCAGAACACACATTCGCTTGTTTCCTACCTGTACAATGTGACTAGATGCATGCAGGACGGGGGAAGGGTTACCGCTCTGTCGTCACTCCGCAGGCAGGCAGAGACGCGTGAGCAGTGCAGTCAATAAGACTAAACTGTGTTTTATCGTTCCAAGTGAAAATGTTCGGAAGAAAATGACAAACTAGCCAACAACGAAGGAGTGGCCAAACCAACACGGCGGCGGCGCGTGAGCTCGCTCTAGTCGGAACACTGAAATGTTTGAGCCTCCTGATACGAGAAAACACAAGACAAGTAAAACGACTGAAGGCATTTAAGGTACACACTAGCTCAGCTGTACTATCATGGCTTATAGGCCAGTCTCGGCATGCGAGTACAGCTACTGCATATTGCGTGGTCGATTGCCAAGCTCCAAGAGAGGCACAAGAATGAATATTGGGGTAACATACCTGCTAAAGCCTGTGCATAAAAATGAGTGTAGAGCACACCTTAACAGCATTAGCCGGTAACTTTGAAGCGATACATTGTTCGATAAGATTAACTCATATTTGCCACCTTTTTTTTGACACCAACATTGGCTTTTGCCCAAAAGGGCTTGTCAATTTTCTGTACCTCGCCTATTTATCAAAATTACTTGCCACTCAGGCAACCTGGTCTTCATGCTCTGGGGGGGTTCTGATTTCACGAAATACAGCTTGCACCCCACCCGGGGAGCAGCTCAACAGGGTGCGTTGAAGCACCAGCATGTCCAGCCTGCTGGTAGCTCGTCATTATTTAACCCACAAACGAACTCCGCCTTGACTGTTGCTGTTCCTATTGTTCCTTGGCTAAAAGTTATTCGAAGCTTTTAACAAAGATTGGGTTGCAATGTCATGAAGCCACGAAGATAGGATGCATGCTCAAAACCCCCAATCCTTTCTGCGTTGCTGAGCCACCCACACGGAGACTAGGCCTCAGCTTTATGATGTATTGACGCTGTTCTGCTTACCGTAGCTGAGCTGAGGGCTTTATAGAGACTAGGAGATGCGTGGCCCAGTGCTTTTCGGCACACTGGCCTCCACAGCAGGCAGGTGTGGTCGCATGCGTGCCTTACTATTGGTCACCCATGGCATACCTACGATTACATCGTGGCGCACTGGTTCAAATAAAAGTGGTGGACCATGACAAGAGACCCAGATTACGATTTGAAGTAGCATTCGATTGCCGAAGCCCTGCCAATCCTTGCATTCTGCCGCCCGCCAGCAAGCCTGAGTCTTTGAGAGTGTGCAGACGAGTGAGCAGGCAGTCTATTTTTCCTCACCCTCTCTTCGGATAGCAGATAAACCTCGCATCCATTTTTAAGTAGCGATAGCAATTTTCGGCCTTTTATGTGAGCCCGTATCACCGAAGAACTGACCCCTGATGGGTCCCGAACTGCGGCTCCATCTTCTGTAGTTCTATGCTCTGCGTCGTAGTGTGTACACTTCGGGTAGACGCAAAAATGTCACTGACAAATCGGAAGTTCCTCTACGCAGTTCTTTCTTATGAGCCGAATTTCCATGTTCCTCCAGATATGAAGTTATTGGTAGCTTCCTGTCACTCACATTTCTTTTTTCTCCCAAAGCTTGTTGGGTTTATCTTGGCAGAAAACAGTGATTCAAGATTTGCATGAAGGCTTTAGTTGTAGTGTTTTCTGCAGGCAGACGACTTCCTCTACATACATTCAGCCGCCTTTGAAGTGCTCTTTTTCTTCCACAAATTAACCCCAACTAGCACTATCTTCTCTTCCTCGAACGGTTACAAAGCAAGGTACACCTTCAAACGGCTGGTGAAATCGTTGAGTACTTGCTCATCCTAACGGCCATTTTGCTTTTCTGGTCGGCATAGGTTCATCAGCACATCTATTAAAACGTTGGCGGCTGAAAATCCTTGTTTCTTTAGCACCTGTAAATCTACCGCGTTCGCACAAGCTTCTTGGGGGCCTTTGCCATTCCGTTAGCCATTGTACTACCGTCAACTTTCATCGCCAGAGATTTTTGTTGCACTGCTACCAAAGGAAATATGATTATTGAATTACCAAATGACGAGAAGAAACTTTGGCACATGTTGAAGGGAAACCTGATATCCTATTGCATCTACAGCCAGTGGATGAGCGGAGAAGAGCAGCATTAAACTATGCAGTCCTGCAACTCTTAGGCTACATCTATACTTTCGACAGGAAGGCACTTGGCTCCACACTCAATACAAACTCAATGGAATGCTTCTGAGTGTTCCTCAAAAACCTCCCGTCTTCCCCTATACATGCGTCTCATTTTTCAAAGTACAGGAAGAAGGGACAGATATTGTGCGCGTAGCTGCCCCCTCTAAGCACTCCAATTATTCACCGATAGTTGCACGGAGCAGGTAGCGCACATGCACACAAGAAAGCGTGCTCTTGTATCGATCTCATAATACTCTGCAACAAGCAGAAATATACGCAGACACACCAATTATTCTATTCCATACTACTTCTTTAATGAATAGAACAATTGTAGTAGAAACCCTGTAGTAGCAAAAGGGCTTATTCTTGCTTCCTCTGCCCTCGCCACTCATGATTCGGACCTAAGGGAATAGGGAGAGAGAACAAAGGCGTGTCGGCGCTGTTGCATCCAGGCAGTTAGTTGCAGAGAGCATCCAGAGCACAAGTTCAAAATATTTATTTCTTATAATAATTATCTAATTCAATGTGTTTCACTAACGATATGTGGACAGCCGAATCAAATAGAGTGAATCCCTTATTAGTTTGTAGTTAATACAACTGGTGTGGTACATTGTGAAAGCGTGGTGAAGCCCCCTACTCCAGTACTGCTCCGTAAGCTAGGAATCCCCATAGACGCCCCTAAGTGGGGTGGCTAGCCTGGCGCAACATAGTGCAGAGCCCGCAATGGTGTTCTCTGTGTCCTTGTGTCCTCACCACACCTCATAGGCACAGCCAGTGCAGAAATCTACCTACCATGTTCAAAAGCACACACATCTGCTTACTGATAAGAACGGATACGCGTGTATTTTAATCAAGGAATTTCGATATCTTTGCAGGCAGTCCCAGCCAGCATTGATGCGGGCACATCATTCATCTGACGGTCTGTTGAATTTGCAACTGCAGCGTCGCCACACCCTGCTGATGCAGCCGGCCCTGCAGTACGCAAACAACTCGACTTGCGTGAGCTTATATATGGGTATTTAGTTGCAGATGTGCCTAGATCAGGGTTACTGAAAAGGCAGGCAGTACGGACACGCGTATTTTCCTTCTTGTGATTGCCTCCCTTCGCTCGTACAGTGTAGCAGTTAACACGAACATCCGCTCACTAGGTGCGGTGGTGTTTAAGCCATGTAATTGGCATATCTTTGATATGCCAAATGCACTTTTGCGTCTGTCGAGACCTCGTAATCCTTCATGGTGATACTGCGGGGCCTGAATGCTAACTTCAGTGTCTTGATAGTGTCTGAATCGCCATCCGTGTGATCTCTTATAATCTGGCTCTGCTTCCGACCTACTTACGTTCACTGATACGCAAGTACATGCCTCTTGACGATGTAGAAGCGCCCGTAGCAAAGGGCAGCCCAGAAGCAACGTGGATAAAGCATGTGCCTATGTGAGGACATGCACCAGGAGAGGCGGGGCTTCCGGCAGCATGCCTGCTGCCCCAACCTGACGGTTGCCCTCTTCTTAGAAGTAGTGTCTGCTGGGCTGTGCTGCCGTTGTTACTTCGCTTTCCCTATGTAGCCCCCCTGCAGCGCCTCATCCTGTCCCCTCTGATTTCCCCCATGGAACCTTGCGGGGGGCGCGCATTACAGCAAAAAAGACGAGATGTCAGCTGACAGAGCCAGCAATGCCGTGGGCAGAGGCTGATAAAAGGCACGTAGAGTGAGAGAGAACAAGACAGCCAGGGAGACGCACAGAGGCAAGACCCTAACGAAGGAGAGGTTTGCAGCAGGCCCCTTTCATGACACAAAGGCTTCAGAAACTGTGGCTGGCGCGAGTGCTGAAATTGAACTAACCCCACCTTACGCCTCCCGTGGGGAAAGGAGAAGCGAGCGTGTATTCTTCCCCCTTTTTCCAAAGAGAACCGCAATCATGGTTGCCTTTTACGTGACGCTTGCACCATGTCCAGTGGCCTTACGATGCAAGCAGACTACATCTAATTTTTTGGCTAACTGACGAGCAAGGCAGCCGCCTACATAACTACAGAAAGCAGAGGCGCTTGCCAAACTCCACCAGCATCTAGGCGACACGAATATCCATGCATGCGCTCATGCATCTCCAGATGCACATGCGTGTTTCTCTGTTACCGTATGCAAGCATTGGTGCAAAAAGGCCATGATGGGAGGCGGGAGGCCGCTCAACTCCATCCGTCCCGGTGCAACGTGCTGCCTTCATCAGGCAGAGGTGCTGTAGCGGCGGCTGTCGCCTGTGCAGCAGCTGGCTGCGCACCTCCTATGCCCCCAAGGGTTCTTAGCGATGATCCGCGAGGGGCCCTCTGGGATGCTGCGGATTACCTGCGAAGCTCGAGGCCGCCGTCCCAGGGGCCCCCACGCCGCTTGGCCGATAAGGCATTCCTACCGCCGCACTGCGGCGAGGCACCTGATCGGCTGCTGCCACGGGCAGAGAGGCATCTAGAGGCTTGAAGGCAGCTCCAGAGCCAAAGCGTCCTGCGCTAGCTGCTGCCGCTGGGTGTGGAACGGCGACAGCAGAGCCCTGCGGCGTTCGCGCTGCTCCTAGCACTGCTGCAGGAAGGTGCTGCTGCATGGCTGTACTTGCACGAGTTGAAGAAGCGTTTGCTGCATGTTCCCTCTGTCTTTCAGGAGTTGGGCCGCTTTCAGGGGGCAATGCGCAACGTGCACCGAGAGCCCCCGCCAACAACCCATCAGGGGTTCCCACTGGCAGCAAGGAAATCGTGGAAAGAGGCCTCGGCGAGGCAGCTGCAGCTCGTGTAGCCGCCGTTGTTGCTGTTGCTGCCAGATTTTCTGCTGGTAATGATGCAGCGGCCTTCGCTTGGCTTGAGCCGCTCCTGCTACTCGCGTTCCCCCCAAGAGAAGAAAGTGCTGCATGTGTCATAGCAGAACCCCGGGAACCGCCACCCCCAGACACACTGGGGGACGGGCTTGAATGTCGATCCGTTGGAGTGCCTCCAGAGAGACTTTGCAGCTGCTGCTGCTGCTGTGTCAAGTAGCGACTCGCAGCAGCACTCTCGGCAGGTACAAGCAAAGACACCTCCGTCAGATGACCGCGCAACCCGCTCAAGACACCCCCGCCTGCCCCCAAGGCGCATAAGCCACAGCTCACTCCCTTATCGCCGATAAACGAATAAAAAAGATGACATCAAAAATGGAAACATCAATTCCAGTAGTGAGGAAACAACAATAACAGTAGCAGCAACAAGAACAATAACAGTAGTAGTAACAACAATTGCAGTAGTAACAACAACACTACCAGTAGTAGTAACAAGTGCAATACCAGTAGTAGCAACAAGAACAATAACAGTAGTAGCAACAAGAACAATACCAGCAGTAGTAACAACAATTGCAGTAGTAACAACAACACTTCCAGTAGTAGTAACAAGAACAACGATACCAGTAGTAGTAACAACAACAATACCAGGAGTAGTAACAACAACAATACCAGGAGTAGTAACAACAAGAATACCAGGAGTAGTAACAACAAGAACACTAACACTAGTGACAACAAGAACACTAACAGAAGTAACAACAACAGCAACACTAACAGAAGTAACAACAACAGCAACACTAAAAAACAGCAGCAAAACAGCAACATGGCGCACCTTCGTCATTGTAGCTTCTTGTTGTATAATAAACAACCAGCGATTCCGTTGGGTAGGCGAGGGACAGCTGATGCAGCGCAGCCAACGTCAAATTGGGTCCGAAGGGGGCTCGGTGCTCTTTGGTGTAGAGTCTCAGATCTGCAATGGGTTGCAGCTGTTTCTGCAGCTGCTGTTTCTGCAGCAGCTGCTTCTGCTGCTGTTGCTGGTTAAGGCGTGCGGCGACGAAGCGGGAGAGCTGCAGCACAGTGCAGCTGCCGTCGGTGGACAGCCTGTTCTGCTCCAGCAAGGGCAGATGAGGCATCAGCAAATCCGGAAGGAGCTCGAAGTGCAGACGGACTGCTGCAGCACTGTCCCCTCCCTCTGCTGCTGCTGCCGTCGAAGCCTGATGCCGCCGCAGCAGCAAAGACAGTTCACGGCGGAGCCGCTTCCTCTCTGGAGGAGGGAGGGCAGCTTGCATGGCCATAGTGAGGTATCGGGAGTGCGTGCTGCCTGCGACTGCGAATCCAGCTGCATCCGCAGCGCAAAGAGAAGGCGGCCTCCCATGCGACTGCTGCTGCTGCTGACGGGGGACCAGCTGCCCCGAAGCATCGACAAAAGGCGGGGGAGTGGGGGGGCGCAGCAGCAGCAAGGCATACGCCTTGCTGCTGCTGCTCGTGTTGAGAATGCTTCCGTGTTTCTTGGGGTGCTGCTGCAGCTGCAGCGGCGACACCAGCGCTCCCTGCGGCAGCTGCCGCTTGTGTGGCGGGAGTCCACACGCTGCAGACGCTGTCTCGGGGGCTCCTGCTGCCGGAGTGGTCGTGCAGGTAGCAGCGGCAGCAGCACAAGCAGCAGCGGCGGCTGCATGCTCGGCAGCAGCTCCTTGGTTCGAGTGAAGCCGCTGATTGGCTCTTGACAGGAGGACATGGTGCTTCTCCTCGAAGGCTCGCAGGGAAGGAAACAGCCGCCTGACAATTCTGTCGAGGTCCCCGTCAGGACGCAAACTTCGACGGGAGGCAACGTGGGAACGGCACTGCAAACCACAGTGCACCGCAGACGCACACCCATAGCTGTCGATAGGCTTGCAAAACTCGAAGGAAAGCCGCTGCTACACTGGTGGCTGCAAGAGCCAATCACCTAGACGCACACGAGGCCTTCAGGGAGAGGCACATCTACAGATACATGTGTGTTTGTGTGAGTATGAGTGTATATGTGTGTATGAGTGTATATGTGTGTATGAGTGCATATGTGTGTATGAGTGCATATGTGTGTATGAGTGCATATGTGTGTATGAGTGCATATGTGTGTATGAGTGCATATGTGTGTTTGTGCGTATGTGTACGTGTATGTATATGCGTGTGTATATGCGTGTTTGTGTGTGCTTGTATGTGTGTATGTGCTTGTGTGTATTTGTGTGTGTTTGTAAGCAGCAAGACCTGCGATAAAAAGCGGCCAGGCAGCCGCCTGCTATCTCGCAAAAGACAGCTGCAGAATCGCCGTCTGTTGCCTTTTTATGTTCTATTTCTCCCTCCTCCGCCTCCCCCCCTTCCCCGTTCCCGCATGCTCTACACTTGAATCTTTTAGGGCCTGACCTGAGGGCACTCGCGGATGCCGATGCGAACGCACTTCTCGATGCATTCTGCGCAAAAGCGATGGAGGCAGCTCTTGACGACAACGGTTTGATCCAAGATGCTCATGCAGATTGGACAGGAGAGGTCCTCCCTCAGCCGAATGCTGTTGAGCGTCTTGCGCTGCTGCAGCATCTCTCTCGACACTCGACGCACTCCTGCTGCCGCTTGCAGCAGGGAGATCGACGGTGGCAAGCGCTGCTGCAAAAGGCGGTAATACAGCCAATCGCGACCCCACAACGTTCCGTGTTCCTTGTCGTACGCAAGCCATTGCTTGGATCGCTCACTCATGGGTTGGCTGGTTCCAGGATCGTCATAAATATCTGAACTGCCCGAGTTGACGACAGGGAGGCTAGTAGCTGCACTGGCGTCGACTGCGGTAGGAGATGCTACTCGCAGCATGGCGGGGTGTGACAAGCCTCTGCTGCTCGTGCTGTTGCAGCTGCTGCTGCTGTTGCGGCTGCTGCTGCTCGCGCTCTCTCTCACGCCACTGATGCCCTCTTGGCTCTGAATCGATGGCGAAGCATCTGCAGTGGCGGCACCAGCAGCACCAGGGGACAGGATACCCCTGCCGGCGGGAGCTGATGGATGGTGCGCTGCTGCAGCTGCCTGATCGTGAGGCTTGGCTAGACCTGTGATTCGCATAAAGGGCGACGGATGCTTTGCGTTCTGCTGTACGGCCTTGGATTGGTGAGGAGAAGGAGAAGGAAGAAGAGGACCAACTTCAGATGCCTTCCGAGCACCTGCTGCAGCGGTCGCTCCCATAAGAAACGGCTGCTGCAAAGGTTGCTTGAGCGCCGAGTAGAGCGGCCCCGTTGCTGCAGTCAACACTGGCAGGTGAAGAGAAGAGGAGAACTCTCCCGCCTGCAAAACTGCAGCACGCTGCTGAAGAGGTGCAAGCTGTTGTTGCTGGGGTTGCTGCTGCTGCTGCAGCTGCTGCTGCTGCACCAACAGGCCCGCAGCACCAGCGGTGACAGCATTCCCCCTGCTGCCGCTGTTTTGGATGAGCTGCAACGCCCGTCTGCTGAGCTGAGACTGCAGCAGCTGCATGCATTGCTGACCGCGTGCAGCAGCAACAGTTGCAGAATCAACGGATGGTAGCGCAGAGGCTGCGGCTTGCACGCTGCCAGCGGGAGGCATGGGCGTTGCTGCGTTCTCTGCCATAGTCGCTGCCGCAGAGAACGCAGTTGGCGCACCCTGAGACCCTTGGGGCCCCTGGGGCCCCTGAGGCCCTGGGGGCCCTTGGTGGGGCCCTTGCTGAGACCCTGGGGGCCCCAGAGACCCTGGGGGCCCTTGCTGAGGGCCTGGGGGCCCTTGGAGCCCCTGAGGCCCTTGGGTTGCTGCCATTTGCAGCAGCAGAAGGTGTGGGAGCTAAGGCATCTGCATGCTGCTGCTGCTGCAGGGCCTCCTGTTCCATGCTGCTGCTGCTGCTGCTTCTCAAGAGCCTGGAAGTCCCCTGTAAGCTCCTTAAGATTCGACTTCTGCCGAAGAAAACGCTACAGGGGAGGCAGCGCTGGCTGCAACGCCACTGAGCGCCCACTGCACTGCACTGGACCGCCGCTGCAGTGTCTGCTGCTGCTGCAGCAGCAGACTGTAGAGCTCCCGCAGGAATAGCTGACAGGAAGTACAAAAGCCAGCTAAATGTGCTAAAGCAAGGGCGGATTAGTGAGGCAGTGCTGCAAATGCTGGCCTCCTCCGAGACGCATGCAGCAGCAGCCAGAGAGCGCATGGAGCAGCCTTTGCGGCAGCACTTTCGGCAACTGCTGCTCACCGCCTTGTTGCTGCACGTTCCCTCGATAAACCTCGGGCTTCCCAAGTTCAGCCTTGTTTTTTCTCAATTTTAGACTTGTATTCGTTGCGGCCGGTGTTATCGCTGCCGCTACTACTACTACACTCAGGCCAGCAAAACTTCTAGCGGCACGAGGACGGCGCAGCCTCCTTGTTCTGGTACCAATACATATGTATATACCGACTTGTGTCTGCACATGAGACCCCCCCCAGGTCTTATCGCATAACTGAAGCCTTTGTTAGTCTGCCGATTTCAGGCTGCTTTTGCTGTCGCGGAAGCGAAGGCACCCGCCTTGAGACTCAACAACAAGGCCTATGCAAGAGCGCATCGAGGGCCTTGGAGGAGACGAGCAGCTCCTCGGTGCGCTGCTCCGTCTATACACTGCGGCCAGGCACCTTCATGAAGCGACGCAGCCTAATGCGGCAGTTGCACCAGAATCCAAGAGCAATGAGTGCGTCATCCCGCTGCAATTGCAGCCGCGGCAACACCCCTTTCCCGATTTGCACCGGCTCGTGGTGTCTAAGCAGTCCATATCGCTGCTGTTACACCAGGCGGTGCGCTGGTGCTCAAGCCATGGCGTGCTAATGGACCAGCAACAGCAGCACCAACTGCAGCAGCAAAAGCAGCAGCAACTATGCAGCGCAGAGCCTCTAAAGCTCCAGTTGGCTCCTTTTTGCGTTCTTCCTTCCCCCTTTCCGTATAGTCGCTATGCACAGGTATGGAATGTAGGTGCCTCCCATCCCTGGATCTTTTTCTTTTTCTCCCTCCCTCCCTCTCTCTCCCAGTATATATCTGTATATATATATTTAATGCTACTTGCAGGGGTGCTATGCGTACGTGTAAAGGGCCGTAAGTGTTTTTGCTTGCTGACGCACCGTCCTGTACTCTGAGACACTGCTGGAACGCTTTCTGCTGCTTCAGGCGGTGTCTGTGGGTGTCCACTTCAACGTGTTGATAGACAACATTACCAAGGACCCACTATGGCTGCAGCAGCACCTGCAGCGTGCTGCCGCATGCGACAGCTTCCTCTCCTCTCTCTTGGGCATTATGCAGCGGGTGTATATGGGAGATGGCTGCGGCAGCGTACCTCCGCGGCGCATAGATCAGGATATTCGACTGCACCTTTTGAGGGCAGACTACATGCTAGACACGTCTGAGGGAGACTTCCCGGAGGAGGAGGAGGACGCAAGAGCCTCAAAAGACGTTGAAGGATGGCCGCTGAGGCTCGTGGAGGTAAACACCATTGCGGTCTCTTTCGCAGGCTTAGGCAAGCGAATTTCTCAGCTGCACGCGCATCTCGTGCGGCAGCTGGCTGCCTCGACGGAGGTGACTCGTGGCCTCTTGCCCGATACGAGGCTCTTGGAGGGGGCCCCTTCAGACTCCGTCGTGTGCCCCGAGAATAACCCCGTAAGAGACATGGCCAGAGCTGTTTCTGCCGCACATTCTGCGTATGTCCAGCGTCAGAAGCATAACCAGCAGTTGCAGTTTCAGCAGCAGTTGCAGTTGCAGCAGTTCCCTGTGGTGATGCTAATGGTGTCTTTGGAGGGGGAGTTGAACGTGTATGATCAGCTGATGTTGCAGGAGGCTATTGAGACAGCGAGCGGTGCGCAGTTGCTTCGCGTATCTCCCCAGCAGCTCTATGACTTGTGGCAGCAGAAGCAGCTGGTGCTGCTGCATGCCGATGGGATCGCAACAACAGGAGTATCTCAACTGCCGAGGCCCTCGCGAGCAGGCCGGCTATTGCTGCGCGTGACTGGCTCCCCCTGTCAAGCGTGCATGCGCTGCCACACCTGCTGCTGCTGCTCTGGCGGTGTCATCCAGGAGCCGCCAGTCCAGCAGCAGCAGGCCTCTGGTGTGGAATGCCTCTGCGGTGTCTGCGAAGTGTCTCTTGTGCTGTTGCGATCTCTTTATGACCCGGCGCACTTCTGCCACGAGGGCATTTGGCTGTTGCGGGAGATCTTGGAGCTGTCGGACGCCGTCAAAGTGCCTTCCGTGCCTGCGCAGCTCGCTGGTACCAAGAAAGTGCAGCAGTTATTCAGTCCAGACACGCGGGTGTCTGCGCAGCTCAAGCAGCGGCACCAGCACCCTTTGCAAGGGTCAGATGCAGCTCCAACCGAAGACGTCCTTGAGCGTTTCTTACCGGACGCTGCAGCGAGGGCTGCTTTGCAGGCCGTGTTGCAGCCGCATGTGGACCCTGCAGATGCGCCGTGTGCAGCAACACCAACGCATTCGGCAATAACAGCTCTGGAGGCTTCGACTGTAGCGATGCTCGAAGACGCCGTTGCAAATCCTTTACTGTACCTGCTGAAGCCGCAACGGGAGGGTGGCGGCAACAACATATACGGGCAGCAGCTGCAGCGCATGTTGCAGCAACACCTTGATGCGAAAACAGACGCAGACAGACTCGGCTCGTGTGTCCTGGTGCGGCGCATGCTTCCACCTGTCCTTCCTTCATTGCTGACTCGATCGCATGCAGCTGCAGAGACCCTGGAGAAAGGGGCCCTCCCTCCCGTGGAATGCTCCCTTGTGGCGTCCGTTGGGGAGCTTGGCGTCTTTAGTGCATTCCTCTTCTGTGGTCAGCAGCACCAACACCATTGCACTCAGCAGCAGCAACAGCAGGGCAGCAGCAGTTGCAGCAATCTGAACGTGTGCTGCGGGACGCTGCTGAGGACAAAGGCTGCCACAGCGCAGGAGGGAGGTGTTGCTGCAGGCTATGGACGCATTGACTCGCCTCTTCTCTTTAGGGGTGCTCCCGCGTGGGCTGTGGTGAAGCGTCTGCAGCAACTGGCGACTGTGTTGGACTAACGTTGCAAGCGCGTTCAATTACCGTTGGATGGTAGTTTTGGCTTTTTACCTGCCCGTAATGCACAGTTGGGACTCCTTTTGTGCTGCACGCCTACTGAGGGAACTCTGGAACCTACGTGCGCATGCGTTCGACCAGCAGAGCAGCAAGGCAGTCGAGTCGAGAGTGTTTAAGCGTAGCGGTAGGAGGAGTAGGAGCAGCAGGTTTCGTGACAGGTGGAAGTAGCACAGGTGTATCTGAGAGGAGATCACTTTTACACGCCTCAGACACACTGTGGGAGGCTTTGTACCTTCCCGGTGTCTCTCCTTCCTCCAGGAAACACGCAGGCATACACCATGCAGCACACGATCACGGTGTGACTAGGCTTGAGGAGTGAACTTCGCTGCAGCAGCATGTACTGCTGTTTGAGTCTTTTTGTGCGACTAGTCTGCTACTTGAATGAGCGGTACAGCGTCTAGGTTGCGCTCCCGGAAGCAGCCAGGGCAGTTGCAGTGCATGTTTGCAGAGTAGCCAATAGAGTGTATGTATGTAATCACGTCAGCGTGTGCTACCATCCTCTGCCTAGCAGCAGCAGCTACCCTGGCACCGACGCCTTCCTCCCAGCAAATGATATTATAGTATAGATTTCACAGTACACCTTCCAGCGCCAAGGGGTGTCGTCTCAACTGCTACCTCGAGTAGAAAAGCGTTAACAGCTGCACTGAGCGATTTTCAGACTATTGGTGGCTGGAGACTTCGCAGACTACCAGGGCGCAAGCGCCATCTATCGCGGCCTCCTCTTTTGCCATTTCAGGTGCTTCTGTAAGTGTCAACGCCTTCCTCCAGCAGCCTCCCCGTTATCCTTTCTGACTGCCTAGCACCGCTTCAGCAGTCAGTTGCCCAGCACCAGGCAATCCGCAGCATAGAGGCCCTTGGGCCGTTCACTGCGAAGAGTATTTACTCCGGCCCCAATGACCTTCGCCAAGAGCCTACCAATCCTGTCTCTCCGCTGGTAGGACGTTTAGCTATAAGCAGTCAGCTGTACAGGTGGGGAGTTAGCGGGCGAGAGAGTGGCATGCAGGGACCAGTTAGTCCTCGCACTCTCTCCGGAGTCATCTATAAGTACCGGTGGCTGCTATAGTTGCAGCCCTCTACATTGATTTTAGAGTGCTGTTGCCAAAACTAGGACTTAGCAGACCCGCATCATTTCCCCTGAAGGCCTCGTGTCTGTTAGCTCTTGAGGCGGCGCCTTCAAACGGCATAATGCGTACACAGGTCCATGGAATGTAAACCTTGGTGTTAATCGCATCTTTGTGCATGCGTCGCGCCGTCATATTGGGATGTATAGGGCCTCTGAAGATGTGAGCCAATTCGCCAGGATTAGGCAACACCAGGCGAACTGCTGCTTCAGCGGCCGCCTCGTGTCAGCATTCCCCGCTATACGGTGAGCCCTCCCCACGACGGGAGTGGCTTCCGCCGTTGCTGCTGCCATAAAATACCCGCGTAGCGCTACCCCGAAAACCCCCCCCCCGTGTTTGGCACTTACCGTTAGGATTCGAGGTTGCGCATCCCCCCTGAAGGAGGCCCGGGGCCTCTAATCTCTGCGCCGCGACTCCCATTGCCCTCACGACTCCGAAGGCTCGTCTTTAAGGGGAGCAGAAGTGTGGCAGAGCGTGGCAGAGCAAGGCGTGCCCGAAGAGTTACATTTATATGTACCCCCCTACCTCGGGTTACCCCGGGGGCTCCCCAGGAGAGATAGCTTTTCGCAATAAAGGCTAAAGGCTTGGGATGCAGGATTTGGAGATTTTAAGTACGGAATTGGACAGAAAGAATGTTACCCGGCCTTTCCGTGGGCTCCCTCGCTGCAGCAGCGGCAGCAACCCGGGGCGCTGCAGAAGAGAAGCCACAGACCCCAGAGGTTCTGTTGTCTCTTCCCCCAGCCTTTTGAGTGTTTACCCCGTCCTAATATTGTGAAATTCCGCCGAAATTGAACTAAGGGGACCAGGCTAGGGTCCGCAGTGTAAGCTTAAGCGCGTGGCTTTGGTGCCCTTACCACCAGCCCGTGACGGTGGGGTCACACACCCCCCGAGCTCGTGGTGTTGCTGCATCAACAAGCGTCTAATTCTCATTCTTTGCTCCTCCCTTGCTATGATTTGGAGCCTAGGGTACAGGCGTGCATCACGGGAGGCACCGCTGCCCTCCTCCGCGGGGCGTCGGTCTGATTCGAGGTATAATACGGCTTGCATACACGGGGAGCTTCCGCAGCCTCTCAGCAGAGGCGCAGCGAGCAGCGGCGAGTGCCTCCCAAACCCTTAGATCCCTGGGAAGGAGGCCCCAGGGGGCGTTCTTCCCCTCGTCCTGCACACCGCCCTTCTTGCCGCTGTACTGCAATTGCAACTGCATCTGGTGCCCACCAAACCGAGCAGCAGCAGGAGCAGCACCAAGAGCAGCACCAAGAGCAGCACCAAGAGCAGCAGCAGGAGCAGCAGCAGGAGCAGCACCAAGAGCAGCAGCAGGAGCAGCACCAAGAGCAGCACCAAGAGCAGCAAAACAGTCCCAGATCTACATCACGGCAGACCAGACTACCACGAGCAGCAGCAGCAACAGCAGCAGCATTTTTTTTTCAGAAAAGAGTATCCCCTGCTCCCTGCTCGGGGTCTTAAGCTTCGGAGTTTAAAGCCTTCCTTCGCCCCTCCCTCTCTGTGGCATGAGTCCGGCTGTGCGTTACAGCGCCAATATCGCTAATCCCCATCTGCGCAGGGGGGGTTAGTGACATGAGAGCAACCCGCCGCGCATCTACTGCAGCAGCAGTTGCTGCAGATCCCGCACCGACCCCACCAACACCAGCCGCCATCAGTCGCAGAGGCCAAGCGTCTGCCTCCCTGTCTCCTGCCTTCCCGCCTCCACGCAACAGCGGAAGCGGTAGCAGTGCAGCGCCTAGGTCCTCACGATCCACGCTAGCCAGCAGAACCTCGACGTCTTTCAAAGGCGGGCACGCACGCACACCTCCCGCTGCCTCAACCCCTTCCCTGCAACAGCAGCAACAGCAGCAACAGCAGCAACAGCAGCAACAGCAGCGCTGTAGCAGCAGATTGCAAGGCCTAGCTCCGTTGCCAGGCCTTCGCAACTCGCCTGCACGCAACAGCGGTAATTGCTTTTCTCCTCGCGAGGTGATATCGGCTCAGCGGGGACTGGCGGATTTGGCGTTTGAGGTGTCACTTGAGGCGAATGTGGCCGCAGCAGCGGCGGCTTTGGAGATGTCAGAGGAGCCGCAGGATGAGGAGGAGGTTCTATCTCAAGACTCCCACAGCGTCCACAGCAGAACGGGGGGAGAAGGCGGGGCAGCAGCTGCAGAGGAAGCAACTGAAGCAGAAATGGAGACAGAAAATGCAGCAGCCGAGGGCCGAATAGATACCGACGAAGAGGCGGAGACATCGGAAGAAGCGCCGCACCAACAACAGCAGCAGCAGCAGCGCCGAATGTCTGGCCGTCGCCGACGCAACATCCCCGTTTCCCTGACTCCAAGCCTCGGCAAGAGCAGCAGCAGCAGCAGCAGTGCGAGGGGAGCTCCTACACGCAGCGGCGGTGCAGCTGCTGCAGCAGCAGCAGCAGGTGCAGCTCGAGGCATTCGAGATGCAGCTGCCTATGAGGGGGGAACTCCATGGGAGGAAGCTCCCAGTTCAAAGGGCAACGCCGACCTTGTGGCTCTCAACGATGCAGATAGGCGTACGCTGTTGCAGTTGCTCCTTGAAGGTTTCTCCCCTTTTGTTTGTGCAGGGTGAAGCTGCCGCTGGCCTCCCTTTGAGGGAAGGATGCTGCGTGAAATCCGCTCTTTGCTGGAGAGCTCTGTGCTGCCGTTGCTGCTGCAGAGAAGCACCCGGGGTGGTATAACGGCCCTGTCGGCTCGTGCGAGCCAACGCATCGCTGTCTGTGCTGGTGGAGATTTAGACCTACTGGGAAGTACCAGCCAGGCCTGGTTATAAGAGATCTGGAATCCGAAATGGAAGCGAGTAAGTTTGTGGTGCAGTCGCAGCAGGCTTTCTAGGAATGCGCCTTTGCTCCCCCTCTCTCCCCAGTGTGGCCCTTTTATCAAGACTGGAGCCTTGATAAAAAGGCGGCAGGGCGACACCGTGTTTGGGGTGTCACCTTTTGGGGGAAGGAGGGGGGTTACAAGGGGATAAAGCAGAGGGTGGAAAAAGAAAAAGCGAGGCTTCATGGCGAACGCAAGAGACACACACAGCAGCAGCAGCAGCAGCAGCAGGAACAGCGTCTAGCAAAGGGTCCAATTCATCAGCAGGCAGGCTGCCTGGAGGGAAAGCCGCGGGAAGGGGGAAGAACCGCCGATGTTGCACCTCAGTGTTTGTGCAAAGTTGGACTGGGGGGTCGGTCTTCTTGCGCTCTCATCATGGCGTTCTCTCCTTCATGGACGCTGCATGTGTGTGTCTTTTCCCTCCATATGATGCAGAACGCATGACGCCTGCAGTGAGAGACGCGCTGCTTGCCGGCATGACAGGCAGAGCGCCACATGGCCGTGGGGGAGGAGGCGTTCCCCACAGTAACTTGCAAGGCAAGACACCGGCTTTCAAGACAGAAATCGTAGTGGTGATGGCTCTCGAAGACCTCAAATACTCCCTGTGCAACTGGACAAGCACCAAGCCCATGGTGCGTACCCGATATTATGACTCCTTCCCTTCGAGTCGTGTTGGGGGCTCTGCTTGGCTGTGTGTGTGTGTTTATGTGTGTGTGTATGTTTGTGTGTTTGTTTATGTGTGTGTCTTTATGTGTGTGTGTTTATTTGTGTGTTTATGTGTGTATATGTTTGTGTGTTTGTTTACGTGTGTGTATGTTTGTGTGTTTGTTTATGTGTGTGTATGTTTGTGTGTTTGTTTATGTGTGTCTTTATGTGTGTGTGTGTGTTTGTTTGTGTGTTTATGTGTCTTTATGTGTGTCTTTATGTGTGTGTATTTGTATTTATGTGCGCCTCTTGAGTAGCGATGTGCTGCCTTGCCGCCATCTTTTCTGTTTCTGCCATACGCTAGGAATCAGCGTGTGTGTGTGCCTTCTCTGAGGGGTGTGTAGTGTGTTTTCTCGTGCATGTGTTCTCTCCCTCGCGATTGGCAAATTCTGTGGCTTGAATGGGCAAGTATACTTGTAACTGCCTCCATTTGTGCGGTTCTGTATTTTTCCGGCGTAGAGCCCTTCGATGAGACTCGCTGCTTGCCGCGGTGCAGTGTAGGCTGCTGCACTGCACGTTGAAAGGCTTATACTCTCCCTTCTGGTGTTTGTTGGGGTCCTCTGCAGCCGTTTCCTGCAGGATGCCAACAGTTGCGTCTCGAGAAGATGGCGGGCTACTCCCTTAAGTGTCTGAATGCTCTCGCAAGGGCCAAGAAGATCCTCCAACTCAGGGAAGCATACAGAGGTGAGGCTCAGCTTTGCGTGCCGTGCATCTCTTTCTGACGGGTGTGTCGCCAGCCGAATGCCGCGGCAAGAACGAAACACCAACCCTCCAATCGGCTGCTAGCTGCAGACGAGAGCTTCTTGTATGGCGAGCCGCCGCATGTGGCGCATGCATGGCACACTGCATGCCGTCGACTTTGTCCACATCCGAAGTTGTCTGCAGATGCACGTCTTGAGCCAAATTCAGGGTCCAGCTACTTTATGTGCTCTCTCGCTCAGATATGAAGCATGCCCGGCCTGAAGCTTTAGAGAATCAGCTCCTCGATACGTTGGCGCGGGAGCACATTAAACCTACCCACGAGACAGTCAAGCACCTGTTCACAGTGCGCAGCCTGCCGGGGGAAGAAGGAGGGTAGTGTTAAGTTGTATCTACCGTCTCTTCTGTCTTCCTTCTTGCCAGATGCCTTGCTTTTGTACTTGCATTTGGGTGTGTCTGCATGCCGGCACGCCTCTCCCCCTGTGCATGTACGTATGTGTGTGTGTTTGTTTGCGGGTTTTTTTTATGCAACCTTCTCTTGCTCCTTCCTCGAGCAGTGCAGTTCCTCTTGACTTGCTGAATCGTTTGCATGTTCTTTTCGATGCATAGTGGGCTCTCTACCCCAGTATTTTTTGCGGTCTCTTCTTTGCATCGCCCACCAGTAATTTGTTCGCTCCGTCGTTCGCACGCACCCCCGCTGCCTGTGCTGGACCATGGGCTACGAATCTCGCTACTTAATTTGAATTTCTATGTATAAACATATAATTATCCATACATATATATGTACATATTTTAGGTACACATTTATACATATTTCTATAGGTGCATGTTTGCTTAGGCCCATGTGTATAGATGCATATCGAGACGCGTTAGCAGTAAACTTTCGGTGTCTGTACACTTGACACCTGCGCTTATTATTTTTTGCAGGTGTCAGCGGACGTGATTATCCAAAGCTACACTACCATGCCCCCAGGCAAGTTGTTGCGTTGTGTGTTTAGGGGTTTGTTTTGCCTCACGATGTGGGGAATGCGTGTTTCAGAGGTGTTTTCAAGACTAGAAAACATAGGAGCTTGCGCAAGAGTTCATACTGGTGCTGCTGCCGCTGCATTCAGGCTGGGATTGGGATGCGTATCAGCGGGAAGAGGAAGAGGCGGCGCAGCGGAAGCGTTCGCGCGAAGAGGCCGCAGCGGCTGCAGCAGCAGCTGCCGCTGCCGCGAGTGGAGGGCGCAAGCGTCGTGCTGCTGCGGCAGTTGCCTTGCTTGCAGCAGCGGCGTGCGGCGAGGATGGCGAGAGCAGCGAGGGGGGTCTGCAGGAAGGGCCTTCAGCCGCAGCAGCGACCCCGACAAAGGCAGCAGCAGCAGCAGCGAAACACGGGGTGGATTATTATTACCGGGGTGGCAGACGAGTCGTGTTGGCACGGACGCCTCCCCTTGTGCGACAGCGTCGGGGAGAGCTGGCAGCAGCAGCCTTGGGGCTAAGTCCGCTGGATGATCCTCTGCTAGCGGCCGCCGTAGGGTTGCTTCCGGAGCAGCAGCAGCAGCAGCAGCAGCAGGAGGCCTTGTTGCAGCAGCGGAAGGAGCAACAGCGCCTCAGCGGCTTGCTGAATGGATTCTCAGGGCAGTGGATGACGATGATGAGATCTCTGGTGCTGAGTCGGGAGCGGCTTCTGCAGCTGCTCCAGCCCGTCCCCCTTGACCTCCTGCACAATCCAACGTATTTGTTCGCTCCCCTCCCGCCGCTCTTGTCTCCTGTGCTGCTGATGGAAATCGCGGTCCAGCATCAAAATCCTGCTGCCGCTGCGCATCTCCTTGCCGCCAACCTGCTGCTTCACCGCCTCGGTGACACTGTGGCCATCAGAGCTTTAGATCCCGCGCAAAAGCGACTTGCCTTAGAAGAGACGCAACAGCACGACACGTGCTCGAGGAACGCGAGGCAGCAGCAGCGCAAACCCCACGGCAAAGCGACTCCCCACAACCAAACCGGTGAGCCGCTGCAAAGCAAGGCATCGCTCGCTCTGAGTGCTTCTCCATGTCTACGCTCTCTTAGTTGTGTATTCTTCGTAAGAATTCTCGACGCTTTAACAGGCTCTCTGTGGGGATGCACGCGATCATGTGGTTTGTGAAATGTGCGTGGTGCTGCCGGTCTCATTTAGAGGGCGCGACCACTCATCTGTATATACATGGATATGTATATACATATATATACATATATATATATGTATATTATGTATATGGTGTTGTACGTCTGGATGTGCGCCAGGTGGCAACAGCAACAGCAACAGCAGCAGCAGCAGCAGCACTGTGCGCTTCGAGATGGGGTATTCTGTGTGCCTCTGTCTTGGACTGCTGTATGGCCGCATCAATCCAAACCAGTTGCCGTTATATGCCGCTGCAGGATCCATGCAGCATCTGCAGCACCAGAAGCAGCAGCGTCTTAAGAGGCAACGCTTCCGCTGTGCTCCTTGGATCGGCCTTCTGACAGGAGAACAAGTTGCTGCCCGCAACTCCTGCTCCCCTTCCTCCTCCACAAGCGAGCAGCAGCAGCAGCTGCTGCAGCAGCCACAACCGCCTTTACTACAGCAGCAGCAGCAGCTCTGCGACTCTGCGGCTGCTGCAAATCCCCCTTCGAAGAACGCAGTGAGCGGTGACTCGCTGGCACCTGGGAAGCACTGCAGCGAGGGCACCTTAGAAACCCTCAACGGCAAAGATCCACGCGCGCATGCAGATGCAGCAGCAGAGAAAACGCAGCTGTACATGGACGTGGACGGGCCAGAGGCAGCATCCTCTACGGCATACACAGCTCCGATTGCTGCAGCACTGCAGAATGCTGCTGCAACAACCGACGAATCTCATGGCATAGCCTCAGCAATATCAACAAGAGAAGCACCAGCACGAGGTTCTGAAGAGGGCGATGCAGGCTGGGAGCTCCCTTGGCCATCCTCTCTCGGCATACAGCCCACAGTTCCGTTGAATCTGTGTTTGCTAACCATACACTGCAGCTGTGACGACGAGGATTTCCTCCTTCGGGTGTCTCTTGATAAGGTGCGATACGATACAGCGAAAACAACAGCCCATGCGGCTGCTGCCCTTCCTTAGGTCTCTCTACAGCCGCGCTGCTGCGAATGTAGGCTTTTGCATTCCCTCTAGGAGTGTATATCCTTGTCGTTGTCTTCAAGGTGAGTGTGCAGCAATGCGTGACTCTTGCGGTCCGCCTGCAGGTGAGCAACCAGCCTCCTTCTCTCTCTGAACTTGAACGGTGCTATACAACTCACGGGGAGCGTTTTTCGCTGTCTGCTCTGGACACGCGTCTTTCAACTTTGAGTGATATCGAGGCGCATAGTCGCACGCTGCTTTCACTCCTCGAGGCTGCGCATGGCAGCAGCAGCAGCAGAGCCGCCGCTGAAAGGGCGCTCGAAAAGAAGGGAGGCAAGCACCTCATTCTGAGGAGAGTTCCTACCAAGGGATTCCCAATAGCCAACAACAACAACGGCAGTGCTAACTGCCAAGCCGGGGAAAGCCCGTCTAAGAAGCGGCTGCCAGTAGGGGATGATTTGCACCAACAGCAACAGCAACAGCAACAGCATGCTGTGGGCAACCTGGCGGGGGAGGCGAGCATTGTTGCTGCTGATATCAACAGCAGCAGCAGCACGTATAATGAGGATGTTGTGGATCGCAGCGAGCTGCGATTTGACTGGCAGCTGCGAGGTGTCGCTGCACGGCTCGAGGCAGAGAAGGAAGCTGGACGCGTCAGAGAGGGGGACGGGGGGAAGAAGGATGCCGAGGAAGACAAGACAAGCGACTCCAAATGCGTGTCACTCTCCAGGAGCTACGAGGGCCTCTTCGTGCTGCTGGATTCCATTGGCACCCACATCTTTCGCGCCAAGGCAGCTCACCTGAGCTGTCAACTGAGATGCATTGAGAGGGACGCTCTTTCGACTGGAAGTCAGCTGCTGCACGTTCAGCGACGGCTGAAGCAGGAGGAGGGCGAGGGAGTGGATCTGCAGCAGCTGCAGCAAGTCAAGGAGGAAGAAGAGCAGTTGCAGCAGCAGGCCAGCAGACAGCGGGAGCTGCTGCAGCAAGGGAAGGCTTTGATCGAGATGTACAGGGCTGAAGAACGGCAGCAGCAACTCTTGTTGCGTCAGTGGAGGGACGTCTTTATGGCCCTAGTGCAGCTCCCTCCAGGAACGCCACCGAACCCCCACATCCGCAATGGCAGGAGGTTGCAGCAGCTTCTGTGATGCTGGTGCTGCACAAGCTACGGCTGCAGCAGAGCCTTCCTGCTTCTTCTTGTTTCTTGGGAACGGCAACATATAGGCTGATTCTAACGAATCTGGCCAGCGGCGAATTCCTTGAGTATCTGCATTGAAAGCAACGAGGGGGGAAGGGGGGAGGGGGGAGGTTAGAGGGGAGGGCGCTAGCCATGCTGGGGGCCCTTGGCACATGACGCATGGGAGGTAGAAGGTGTTTCCTTCAGTGTCTCGTAAAATCTCTGTAGAGAGAGAGCGAAGCGGAGGAGACCATTCCGCGCCTTCTTTCTTCGAGTAGCTGTATAGACAGTACTTCCGAAGGAAAACAGACAAAACGGAGCTTTCACCGCAGCGTGCGGTATCGCTGCGTGGGGTAGCTGAATCCCAGTGGCAGCGTGGAGGCAGCGGGTATGCTCGGGGAGCCGCCAGGGAGGCTGACAGCTGTGCAGCCTCACAACCGGCTTTGTCAGAGCTTTGCAGTTACTTGTGAAGCGCGTGTAAAGGCAGCTTCTGGCATGCACCAGCACGGATTCGCGTTGCCTCCGACGATTGTACAGACCGCGGGCAGATCAGATGAGCCGTCAACAAGTGCTTTTCTTGGTGAAAAAGACGAGGCCTATATAGGGGAGAATAAGGGGTGGGGGGGGGGTGGTACAACTATCTCCTAGAGGCGGCAGCCCCGAGTTGCAGCACAGCTGCTTGCTCGGCTCGGTACGCAGGTTCCCGGGCAGTGCCCGCAGGAGTCTCGGCAGCGATACTTCACGCTGATATCGCAGTCTGTCAATGAGCTCCTACAGGATATGAACGTTATTCATCAATGTCGCATGCTTAGCTCAGCAGCTCAACGACTCTCGTAGTCTGTCCCTACGGCACACCTGTTGCATACGCACTACACGTTTTTGCCAGGGCTGCAAAACGTGTTCGAGAGATTATGTCTATTATTGCCATACAGGTGAATTTGGACATATAGATGTTCTGTTTCTCTTTATTGGGTGAAGGCATGGGAGAATGTGGATGCACATGAGGATTCATAAAGCGCGAAAGCAGAGCAAGCCGGTCAAGAGTAGCGGGGTTGCATTCAGAGAAGATGGCTGCGCAGCACTGCCTTAAGGCAACACTCTACAAGGAGGATAACTCGACTTAGAGGGGGTAAAGTTGCGAAGAAGTCTCGTAGAGCGGAGTGACCTCCGTGCTATGACGGGCATTCAGGGAACTTTCCTCGCCTTTCCGGCGCCAAGCGCTAAAAAGACCACAAAAAGAGGCAAAGAACGATAGGATGCGATTTCAAAAAATAGGAGTATACTTTTAGCCATCGTCCGTTGAGGAGCCGGTGTGAGATCTGAGAGACAGCAGCTGTGCGTGAGAGAGACCCAGTAGTTGCCGTGCCCCTCCCCGCTTCGCCCCGTGGACTTGAGTTTGTCCGCTTCCCGTGTCTCCCAACAACACCCTATTGTTCTCCTTATTGCATGACCATATTCATCGCATGAACGTTTTGGCTTAGGCTCAAAGATGCAGCAGCTTCCCCAAGTGAACTTGGGGATTGAGCCCCCCAAAGAGACACCCCTCAGGGGGCGGCCACTACCTGAGGGATCGCTCCTCGCCTCTCGCTTTCAGGAGGCGATTGCACAGATTATTGATGGCCATAGAGCCCGGCAAGAGGTCTCTGGTGGCCCTTTAGCTTTCTCAGAGGCCCCCGTAGATGCCTCCGGGTGTGAAGTCGGTGCCAGTTCTCCTCTACCGCAAGAGACAGCAAGCGCCGGTAACTTGCACGACCACCCTCAGCATTACTTCGTCTCATGGTGAATTCTAGACAAATCGATGTACATCTCTGTAGTTTTATGTAGCTATGAGTAGAGGGGGATGGCTTAAACCCTGCAATTGGAAGAGGAGTCCTTAGTTGCATACCCACCGGAAGATGTGGCCAATGCGTATCGCTTGCGGAGGATGCTTCCTTCCGAACAGAGCCGGGACGACGGGGTCAACATATTTGCATGCGAATCCCGTGTGCAACTTAGTTTCAGTTCCTTTTGAATGCTAAAGTTATGACCGCTATAAAATATAATGCAGCCACCAACAGATACATGTTCTGCTATATGGACAAACACACCTCCATATGCACGTTATTATTGCTATAAGTGTGCATTAATTCCCCATAAAGAATTTAAAGTGGTCCTTTTGCTTTGGGATCTCCAGAGCATTCCTATGTCGAGTTTTCTTGGGCACTCTGCCAATCAGCGTGGGAAAAGCTTTCCTTCTTCTTTGCTTTCGCGCGATTTTTTCTATTTTGTGTTATTGCTAGTCCTTTGCTTTGTTTCCTCGGTTTGACACCAACCACCACGAAAGGCAGAGGCACATAGTCGAGTCGTCTTTCGTATATCAACCTTTGGACAGAGCAAGAAATACGGAAAAAAAACAGGGACTATTTTTCAGCACTCAGTAGCGCGCGCTACATTCGTTTCCGGGGCCGCCGCAGGGTTCAGAACAGAAGATATGACAGCCGAGGATGCCACAACAGCGAAAGAAGCGCTTTTATATTCAAGGCTCAACGACATCACGGTAAGTGAGCAGGCCTTTTCCCGCAGGTCACACACAGTACTGGAGAGGCGAGCTCGTAAGGAGACACAGATCTACTCCCTCAAATGAAGCTGCGAGTGTACCCACGCTTGCACTCCAAAAGCAAAACAAGGGACATACGCAGCGATAGGAACTGTTCGCATGTCCCTGTTGGCATATTCCTGCATACAAGGCCAAGTTCGCAAATCAGAAAAGAAGCTTACGACCATAGATCTCAAAATTTATCACCATCGTGCCTTACTGCGTAGTCTTCCTTATGGGCAACAATAGCAATCTAGGAGGGTAGAGGCCTACTGTTTAGGCTTATAGTGCTGGAGTCTCGTCGACCTGTGTCTCAACACTGCTAAAGGCCATCTGAAAGGCACGAACTATACCTTGCTCACTGCCCAGTCACACTGCATTAACCGTAGGCCGTCATGCATTAATCAAGGCAGCATCAGCTCAATCCTTCGCATGAGCTCCTAAGGTCTATGCAGTGCCATCTTCCTTCCTGGGCTTCAGGCCGAGTGTCAGGCCACAAAGCAACGGCTGCACCAACAGCAAGCGGCAACGAAGGAAGCACACCAAAAGTACCTGGAGCACAGGGACAAGGCTTCGGTACGGATGTTGCTTTGTGTAGTACACGAACCCTGTTCTTTGAAAGACCAGCATGTCCAACGTGCCCATGGCAGCAGCGAAGCCAAGCTCCGTACTGCTGCTGCTGGCTCCACTGCAGACCCTGGCTCACCGTGTAGTTCATGACCTAAAGGAACGCCGATTATTATCCAATCAGATGGCCGAGGTGACTTCACCTTCGTACCCTTGAACGCAGTCGAACACAGCGTGACTTGTTTTATTGTGCCTCCTAGCGTTCCCTGGCGTCCGGTCCACTCCACCTAGGGATTACGCTTTAATGTGTTATCTACGAGCGATAGGTGGAGCAAAAGCTCTTAGATGAACGCCAGGCATCAAGGAAACTCGAAGCAGACAAAAAGAATTTGGTGGGACTCATCTGCTGCTGTTAGTGCTGATGTTGCAGTTTTTGTTGTGCTTATTTATGCAGCATGATTCGTTGCATCTACAACCGTATGTAGTGGCCTGTCGGATGTAAACACCGCCTTTTTATCGGCCTCAGTGTGCCTATGCCCGCTGATATGCTGCTGCTGCTTTTGTGTTTGTCGCTGCTTCTGGGATGCATCTATAGAGTCGCACCATCGCAAGACTCCGTGGAAAACTTCAGGAAGCGCAAAATGAGCTCAACAAGGCCCGCGCCGAGGTACCTTGTACATCCATGCCTCCTAGGCACCCTAGGAAGGGCTTTTATGATATTATTTAGCACCTTCGAGGGCTTTTAGCTATGCTTCCGAAGGCCATGAAGATTCTTATACACTGAGACTAGAAAGAGAGCCTGTTGAGGTGCATTCTTTGTGGATTTGTAAGATGCTTCTTGAGTGCTATTTCAGTATATTTGGCAGCGGTGCTGGTGAAAGGCATACCAGCGCTGACCCTAGAAAAGGGGGAGGCCCCGAGTAGGATTTAAAGTGTTGTCTGGAAGGCCGGACTGCTAGCTGCGCTAGGCACTGCCTAATGTGGATACTGTCTTTCTACTGTCTTCTACTGAATGGAGGCACCATTCTGGGTCCTGCGTGTGTTTGTGCTTGCGTACTTTTCGTCTCCTTCTCTCGCAAATGTGCCTCTAATCGCACAGCCTGTGCCGTCATGCCTCAGGCCGGTCTATTGGACCACGAGCGACAGCGGGCAGAGCAGCAAACTCAGATGTTTCGGCACAATTTGAAGGGGATGGGTCCGTCAGGTTGCTTTATCTACCCTAAATATATCGTTTTGTGTGCGTCGGAGCGCCTCCCTTTGCTGCTATTTTTCTGGTGTACGAATATGCCCATTCTGCGGCTCTTCTGTGACAGGGGACTTGCAGCGAAACCTCACAGAAGAACTGGCAGAGGTGAGCCACCTTGCATACGTGAAACGAGAAGGCTTTAAAGTAGAACCAAGATTGTTTGAGTTCCTCAGAAAGACCCCATATATATATATGTATATACATACAGGTGCAAATCAAGCGGCTCACCATAATCCGAGTCCGCTCTACAGCAGAGTGGCCAAAGCCACACCTTATATTAAAGGGGGGCGTTCTTTAGTCAGGGACAGCAGCTTGCGATTTGCATTGGCTACAGGCTAGGGAAAGGGTGAGCGCTGTCAAGCGCGCATATAGGCAGAAGGTTGGGGAGCTGCAAAAAGAGCATGAGGAATGGCGGGTTGTCATTGAAAACCACGAGCAGATCGTTAAGGTCGGATTTCCCTACAGCTTTATTTACACGTGGTGATGCAGTTGCTAGTAGGGCAGGTAGCACTACACTTCGCAGGTGCATGCGTCGCCCTTTGCTGCCGTGTTGGTTACTGCTGCGGATTTGCTGTTTCAAGGGGAGTCCACCGCTCATAACACAAGCCTGGTTCTGTGCCTGACAAGGGTATAGCCTTTGGGGTCAGTATATGTTTGCTGCTGTAGGGGTGGAAGGAAAAGTATGAAGAATCACAGGTCCAAGTAAGTTATGCTTCTATACCTTTGTTGCCGACGCTACAAATGCTGTTGACGTTGACCTAGCATATCCTGCACCTCCATCACCAGTACAGACTGCTTATTGTTGGTGTTCGCCTCAGATGGAGGAAGAGCGAGCTGTGGTGGATCGACTCAGGTAGGCAGCCCAAGCCCAAGCCCCTTTTACCTACGCCCTAGCCCCTTTTAAGTAAAGCCCAAGGGTATACTCAGCGGCAATTGTTGCTGCTACCTTAAAATCGCAGCTGATACTGCTTCTTCAGGAACACTGAAGGTCCAGTCTCTATGTGCGAATAAATTGCCTCAAGGTCACAGGCCTCCAGCTGCTGCAAAGAGCCACCAGTAGTCTCTGTGTGTTGCTTGTAGCTGGGCTCTTAAGACGGCCAAGTGTGCACAAGTTAGTTGCCACCGTAGAGAGGGTAGTGCTCTTCCTGCTGCAGCGTGGTCCGAAGCAGCCTCCTTCACCTCAGAGTTCACTCAGCCTCATCAGACGCTGGGTGCGCTTCGCTTTCAGGAGGCAGATGGACCAGCTGCAGATATTCGCTAATGACCTTGCTACCGAAAAAGAGGAAACCCACGAGTGTGTATGCTGATAGCTCCTCTGGCCAAAGCGCTAAACTCTGTCGTCTAAGGGCCGTGTTGAAGGTCCAGCACGTAGAGTCGCACTCTTATTGTTTTTGTAACCACGTACGTCCACGTTCTGGAGTGTCCGTCAGCGTCGGTCGCGTTTCTATTCTTCCAGAGTTCGAGGTTTGGATAATGTTTACGCGCTTTTGGTCCCGGTTTGTCCCATGTGGGTTTAGGCAGTTGAGGCAGCAAATGAGGCTGAATGAACAGCTACAATCCGAATTAAGTAAGGCCCAGTAAAGGTCCAAGCACACATCCTTTTCGCCGCCCCTCATGTTGTGGGAATCCTGCGATCCTGAATACATTTCCATCAACTCGGATTGACTCCCTGAACCGACCCGTCTCCCCCTCAGTGACTTTCCGAATGCCAGCGTTCGGAACCTGTGATGCGTCTTCACGGGCAACACTGACCCTGTGCTTCGCTGGCCACTGAATATGAGGGGGCATAAACCTTCGTTGTGCTGCAGCCGAGTTGACGGAGCGGTTCATGCTGCAGGAACAGAGAAGAAAGCAGCAACAACAAATGTGGAGGCGCGACCATCTCCATGCCGTTGATAAGTACTTCAGAAAACCTAAATCAACCCGAAGTCCTCTTGAGGACCACCTAAGGGGGTAATAGCGGTCTCAAAGGAATTAAGAGTGGTTTCCCTAAACTTGCCATGCCTGCCTCTCACGGAGATTAGTACAGTGGGAAACTCTACTGGGTGTAGCACGTGTATATGCATGGGTGTGTTCTGGAGGAGCGGTGAGGTTTCTGCAGGAAACTGGAGGCCAGGGACTTTGCTCGTTGTTTCGTCGAGGCTGCCGTTCAGGTAAGTAGCAGGCCCTATTTCAATAGTAGATGGCAGCAGCGAGACCAGAACCTTTTGCTCATGGCGTGTTTATATAGCACGTTCCCAAACCGAACGTGACTAGGAGTAGGCGTGTCGCTCCCTCCCAGTTCGATTTGACTGAACTGCAGGCAGATGTTGATTCTTGCGTCTCGGAGGAGGCTTCGGAAATGGCTTCGAGGGCTCATTCTACCAAAGCCTTCCCAAGAGCTGCTGGAACGAAGGGCTAATGCAAAAGTACCTGACTGACTCCTGCAAGATGTCATTCTAGTGCTCCTTCTTTCTCCTACTGTTACTGGTGCCAGTGTCGTACTCTGGTAGTTCCAGATGCTACTGTTGGAATGCCGTTACTGGTCGATGCACAGTGTGGGCTGGAAGCGACCCACACCCAGTAGTGCCATGGGGAGTTACCAGCTTTCTACTGGCGGACTTTCATCAAAACTGTGTCCTTCATACAAATAAATGTAGAAGGATGCTTTTTAAGACGCGCGAATGTTCTATGTAATCCTTTTTATTCTCAAGCATTAAGATTGCTGTTGCTACCTGCATCTTCCCTCTCCAATGCTCTGTGTGCCATGTCTTTCTGCTTCGCCCTTTTCCCTTCGTTTCCCCAAGTGTTTCTCCCCACTGGTCCCCTTGAGGCAGAAGAGCAGAAATCACTTTGAATGGGGCGCTGCAGCAGGCACCTAACAGGCACGCTAAGCTCTCTAGCGAGGCAGCTGTCCCCTCCACGCTGGCTGACAGCTTAGACCAACCCAAGGATTAGTAGAACCATTCGATTTCGGCCAAGGAGTGCACATAGCTGCAGATCTGTAGAGCTCCCGATCTTTCGTCTGCCATAGACGCACGCGTTTGTTTTAAAAATCTATTTGAGGACAGAGAGATAACTAATTAATTGCAACAACGCAGGGGTGTTCCTTGCATGTCTATACTGGTTGCGTACTCTGAGGAGCGTCCGGTGGCAGGCCCCCCTCCCAGCATCACAGATTACGGGGATAAAGGAGATCAGGTATTGCATATTATATATACCCAAAGTTGGTGCCTCGGGCAGAATGATAGTGACAGATTAGCCAACACAACATCAACTCTTGCCCAGCCAAGCACGCCGTGGCTTAGGGTCTGGAGGCGGTCGCCTTAGAGAGGTTCTCAGGGATTAAGAACAAGTGAAGTCAATGGGCACTGCAGCAGGAGGGGGAAATTTGTTGATCTTTGGCAATCTTTGCAGTCTTTCGCTGAAGCGGGACACAATCGACCAACCTCATACTTCTTGGCAGCTGCCGTTGCGGTGAGCGCCATCAGAAATCTCAGACATCGACTCGGCGTTGCCAACCCTCTGAGCAACTTGGCTCCAGTATCTAGGAAGGAGCACCTTTGAATTAAGCTGTCTTTGATTGCTGGCTGCCGGGAACAGGGAGAAGCTGTGCAAAATCCCCCTCATCCGGCAGTCCTTGTGCTCTACACAGTGCCTGTGTGAGGCCTCTACTGCCGTGCCTCAATACAAGAACACTCTCTCCCATCGTGGCTGCAGGGGCTTTGCTGCCTCCAGAGCGCCACCCCCAACTGCTCTCGAGGCACAGAGGCTTACGGTCAGCACCGCAGAGCAGCAACCAACAAAACAGCGACAGTGGGCCGAAGCTGCAACGCGTTGCTTGCGGGATCTGAAGAAGCCGGATTTGTCAGGAGACAGCCCTAAGTGTTTTCAGCCAAGATCTGCAGCAGAGAGAGCTTATGCGGAGTGCTGCGTTTATAAACAACGGACGGTGGGCAGTACTGACCCGTGTATATCCAGATGGCGCGCGAGGAGTATAGAGAGTAAGCTCCTATAAGGCCTGACGCCTCTTCTCGTCTTTCCCTCCTTGTCTACCCTCTCATTCACGCCCTCGCCTCTCGTTTCAGCTTTCTCTCTTTTGCGTCAATCTTCGCGACCGAGCCTTCTGCTCCCGCCAGGGGCCACACGTTGGTACTCCGTCGCTTCTTTTCCCTCCCTGCATGCTGCAGTCTTCCTGTCTGTCACTCCTCGTAGCCATGAGGGTCTCTGCGCTTCTGTGTTGCCGCTTGCAGCCAGAGGATTAGAGATCGTCAGCATTCCCACAGCCGCTCTCGCAGTCGCTCCCGCTCCCGCTCGAACTCGGTGGACACAAAGGTGCATGCAACTTCTACTGCTTTGCCTCACTTTTTCGTCTGCGCCCCGCCGCTGTAGAGCCCGTCTTGTCTGGTTGCTAGTTTTATTTCCCCTTGAATCCGTATTCCTCTCCGTTGTGTTGCTGGAATGCTGCGGCGTCGCTTCTTTCAGCTAAAACGGAGGCGAGAAGGCAACAGAAATGACGAATTCGTCGTGGGTCTTTGGCTTATGGGGGTTGTTTCCAAGAAGAGGGGGGTTCCATGTTGGGTAGCCTGCAAGTGAAAGCCACCTTTGAAGGGCAGTTTTGCGCATTCGCGGCGGTGCAAGGAGGGAAAAAGCATAGCTGGCTGGTCTGCGATCTTCTTGCGTTGCCTTCTGCAGGGCACGCGCGCGCACACGGAGGGGACTCGGCAGTTGTTACACAACTTTGACTACAAGCAGCTGCAGGAGCAGAGAAACAGATGCACAGTGTTTCTTACAGGGTTTGGACCGGATGTCACGGAGAGCGAGTTGCGCCTCGTCTTTGCCCCCTTTGGGCAGATCAAGGCCGTTGATATGCCTAGACACGAGGAGAACAACAAAATTAAGGGCTTTGGCTTCATCGAATTCGCACAAGAAGAATCTGCTGTACGCACGAAGCATTTTGTCCTTGTGCTAGCGGAGTCACTCAAGGGCTTTGCTGCGCCTCGCTCTCGTCTGTTGCTCTGCGTTGCGGCTCTGAATTGGGGTCTGCGTAACAGCAGTGCAGCGGCTGTCACCAAGCGGAAAGCTGCATGCTGACTGCACAGAGACCTGAGGGCGTTTTTTGCATGTGCTGACATTCCGCTATCGCTCCACTTCTCGTCATTTGGGCAGGAAATGGCAATTAAGGCTATGGACGGGTTCCCCTTCAAGGGCCGCGAGCTGGTAGTAAGGGCTCCTTTGTCCATCGAGGAGAGAAACGCGCTAAGAGAGAAAAAGGAAGAGCTTGCAAATGCCAAAGATCTCGCTCTCAAGCTTCGAAGAACCAAACAGCCCACCGTCCGTCATGTTCCTTGGCTTTAGGATTCGGGGCTAAGAGCTTCGAGGGCACAAACTCAGAACTTTATTGGCGGTCAAGACTAAGACTTGAGGCTTTTTTTGTTGCGCTGTCGCTGCAGGAAGAGATCAGGGGTCTATTTGGAACCGTCCCTTTCCGTAAGGACACACAGGGTAAGTAGGTTTCTTTCGAGGTAATCCACGCTCGTGGGGTGTCTCTACGCAAGTCTGCCGACTGTGCACTGTGCAAGGTCTTTTCTCCAAGTACTATTGGATATATATATATGATGCACTGCCCTAGTCAGAGCCTTACGGGAGAGTTCCGAATGCCTCATGGTGCTGAGGGGCTCCTGAATTCTACTGTTTGGAATGAACAAACTTCTTTTTTCAGCTGCAAGGTGGACAGGTTTGCGTGCTGCATGGCGGGCCGCTCGTTACGGCAGCTGATAACAAGAACTAGCACTGAAAAAGGATATACCGGGTTGGTGTACCTGTGCTGCAGATGCGAGCCAGTGTTCTAAACCGGAGGACATTGTGAGCCATGGCCGTGTGGTGAAGGTCGCAAACATCCCCGCGACGTTTGGAGAGGAAGATGTGAAGGTAATTTTGAGCAGCAGGTGCAGCCAGCCACGCGCTCTGAGGAATGCTCTGGGCCTTTCGCGCGAGAGCTTATTATGGCATTGTCTCCTGCGTTATTACGTTGGCTTTGATCAGCAAATCATGGATGTTTTTGGTCCAATAATGGCGGTGAACGTGATACCGCACCTTCAAGAAGCATTGGTGCATTACTATCAGAAGGGCCATGCGGCACAGGCTGTCGCCACAATGGATGGCTTTTTAGTTGGTGGTAAGGCCCCTTTACTGTCGGCTATTTGGAGTTGAGGTCTACTCTTCCACCGTATAGACAGGCAAATGCTTGGAGTGCCGCTTGTGGCACTGGATGTTTGTGGAAATGTTCTGGCTGCTAATCTCGTGATTTCACCATTCCTGCCAGCCCACCTTCGGTTGAAAACCCGGTCAAGCAGCTTTTTCGTACGGCATTACCATCTCTTTGTCAAATATGTGTCATTGTGCACTCTCTGTGTCTCATCGCACGATGCTTGCGGCTCTCTCCTCAGTGTGTTTGAACCAAGAGTGGAATGTTTGGTTTGCACATGGCTGCAGAAAGACGCCTCAGTGTCATGATCGACAGAATGAACGGACAGCGTCCCTCCTCTTTAATTGTTCTCAAGAACCTCGTGCATGCCGATGAGGTAGATGATCAATTAAAGAAAGAGGTGCGGCTGCCGTCCTAGTGCTCCCTCTTGTGCAGCGCGGGTGACGGTTGTAGAATGGTGGAGCTGCTTTAGGGCGGCAATCAGCCATGCGCTTCAAAGTTGTATATATAAGAACTGATGCAAACTGATGCATCCTGACACTCCATGGGCTGCACAACCGCCACAGGATTAGACATGGTCATACCTGTGCACCTCTCTGTAGGCAGGACGATACAATCTCGCAAACAGTGGGCACAAGGAGGTCTGTGCTATACTGAGCGCGTGGGGTTTGCGATCCTTGTTGCCTGGCTGCAGATTTTCGACCAATGCCGCAAATATGGTCAAGTCCGAGAAGTGACGGTGCATGTGGTGGAGGCGACTAAGGAGGTTCGCGTCTTCACCCTTTTTAGGCTCCCCGAAGGTAAGGGGCCAAAATGTTGAACCGTGGTTTTGCTTTATTGAACACCATAAGATATAAGGCGGTGTTTGACGCCTTATTTTAGGCCTGCCTCTAACGTTGAGATTGCATTTAAAGGCTGATTCTTCAAAATCCCGCATCTGCCACGTTGGCGTAGCGACGGGCGAACACTTGACGGGACTTGTGCTCGCAACAGCAACAATCCACGATGAGTTTTCGAGCCAGATATATTAGAAGGTAGCAGTGACTGCTATGTATGGGGTTCGTTTCTCTCAGAGGCGAATCGCGCATTGCGGATTTTGCCGCATAGGAAGTTCAACAAGAAACCCGTGCAGTGTGAACTGTACGACTACGACGCGTACTGCAAGCACCGCTTCAATATTTAGTAACGCTTCCGCATTCTTCACCGTGGACCAGTTTCGTGCATCCAACGATATGCTGGGCGCGGTGCAGCATACACGACTTGCAACCATCGTTTGTGATGGGGGCATTTTTTCGAGCTTGCACAGACTTTTTTTTTCTAAAGTGCGTTATAAGACAAACAGGTGCAGGGCGTTATGCTGTAAAATTTTTCAATCCTAGAAACCCTAATCAATGACATGCTAGCACGCCACACGTCACGCTGGCAGTCAGATACCTACACTTTGGATAAGCACCGTGCATGCGAGCAGCTACATTATAGGCGCGGTTTTTCGTCTAGGCAAATTTTCCGACAGAACCGATTAAGAACTCGGAAGAACATGCTGCATGTAACGCAGATGCAGGGTGTAAGTCAGCCATGTTGAGGGCAAACAGGAACCTTTAGAGGGGGCACACTGCGTTGAATGCGAGAAGAGGAAAAGGCAGGAAGAAAGAAATGGCAACGCTTGAGAGAATGAAAGTGGACGTTGGGATCGTAGAGCCTGGTTTGGGGATAAAATGTCTGCCAAGCTCTACACGCTTGCATATAAGGAAAACAGTGCTGCTGTTAATCTGAGGTCACGACCGCTGCCTCCTCGGTCTGCGGGGCCCCAGGAGAAAAGTGCCCGCGTCGCAGCACAGCGCAGTAGAACTGAGCGCAATCTATCAGTGTATCCTGCAGAAAGCGTTGCAGCAGTGCTGCCTCAACGGGAGAAGCTGAACCAGCGAGGGACGGTTCAAGCCAGTCCGGTACAGAGCCAATCATCAGCATATCGCTTGTCTGCTGCTGCTGCTGCATAGGGGGCCGGCCAAACTGCAAATGTTCTACAAGGCACCGAGTCTCCTCTTTCAGGCGGTCCCAGGCATACGTCATGCGCTGCGCAGCGGAATGTTCAATGCAGAAACAAAAACAGCATGTTGTAAAACAACTAACGGTACCCATCGTGCATCGAATGAGTGCCTCTTCGCTACACCTGTCTCATATAGGTATATATATATATATATACTCGAATAGTAGAAGAGTCGGATGTAGGGTGATGCATACACTAGTAGCTCTCCTTACTTCTATGCTACACCTCGATACAGCAAAAGGAGTGTTTTCTGTTTCCTTGTGGCTCCTAGGCCACAAACCTCCTTTTTTTCTTTTCTCATCCTCTAGCTTATCGGACAACCCAGCACCAATGGGCAAACATGAAGGAAGCCCTTGGCAGCGAAGCCACTGCAGCTGGACCCCCAGGAAGTTTATAAGGCAGGCAGTTACGTCAGGCCTAATAAGATGCTCTCTGCAGAATGCCGAAGTGCGCAGCACTAGAGACACCACTGCATCTGCCCCTAATACCCCTATTTCATGACCCAATGCTGATCTAACAGCCTGATCGGGGTCTCCTCCCTCAGGTAATGGGAAGCTCGTTGCTCCCGCGCTTCCCTCTCGCGAGTCAAAAGAGATGTTGTTCTCTACAGTGATTCCTCCTGCTGGGTGACTGTGGCGCCCTGTGGTGGACGCGTGCTTCTTTGGAAGGCCACTCGAGGGTCTTTGTTCCTTTTCAGGTTTCTTTTTTTTCTTCTCTTGCCCCGAATGGCGTCCCCCCGTCTGGGATGCAGGGGGTTTGAGAGGAGCTTTGGGTGAGCCCTCATCAGCGGCCTCAACCTGTTGCTGCTGATCTGTAACCGGCAAACTGCACGGGGCCGGATTATTTGAGTAGTTCTTTGAAATCTGAAGATGCCATATGGCCAATATTTCGCTTGGGGTTATTCTATGAGAGAATATAGAAACTGGAGGGTTCTCTGGCACTCCCTCGGCTCCCCCTTCTGGGGACCCCACAGGAGGCCACATTTGTGAAGGAAACCTTCCCTGTGGCACCTAAGTGGCAAACAGAAGCTGCTTTCAACAGAATATTCAAAAGAGAGCGCTTCGAGGTGCCGCACAATAGCAACATAGTGAGGATGGCGAGCTGCACATTTATTAGTAAGTGCCTCGGGAATATAGTGAAATTACCGCCCTGCGTGCTCCAACTTGCTAAGCCTGCCTTGCAGAAAAGCACCTGTAAATGGACAACAATTGCCGGCTCTTGCTAGAGGTGGGGGGCAACAAAATTGATGAGCCACGGAGGTCATCACTGCAGCATGCAGTCGTGTAGAAAACTATTTATTCATTTCTCTTTCGACAGCTGGCAGAAGCAATGACTTTTTGCATCGCACTGCAGCTAGATGCTTCGGGACGAAAGCACATGGGCCTGCCAGAACCAGTCGCTAGACATCTTCATGCAGTAGCCCACATCCTATCTTAACAGCACTTGACGTCAACGCAAAAATAATTTGAAATTCCTTAGGCAATACTTACCCCCAAAGCATCTAGTTGTGTGGAATCTATATATATAGGTGAATGAGGCACCCCACGAGGCGGTCCCTTCTTTTCTAGCAGCTTGAGAGTGAGCCGTTGTGGCCGTATTTGCATTGGGCAAGAGCCCTAGCCAATAATTAATTTACGCAAAATTTAGGCATTCTGAGATTTTTGGCTTGTTTTTGCAGTAGGCAAGAGGCTTGGCTCGTGGTGCAGTTAAGCAGAATTCGGACACTGTGGAGCCTAGTGGAAAGGTGTTATGCATGCACAGCATTGTTCGTGACCCGAAGATCAGGTAGACGTCACATAGCTACGACTTCATGTAGCAGAGTAGCTGTATCTTAGCTTTTAACATTAGAATAATTTGTATTGAGATTAGTCTACCCACAGTTGGCGTGTGACATGAGTGTGCGTGTAGTGTTAGTCATGTTGAGCAGCTCCTGTTCTGTGGCACTTGAAACTATGTTGCGAAGCTGCGTGTTAAGTATCTAGACTTGCACCCTGATTGCTGAGTATGTCACTGAGCTCCAGAAAAGATTTCTATCCTGTAGGCCAAGGACACTGTAAACACGGGGGAGAGGAGATGGCTCATTATGAGATAGCTGGTTGGAACAGTCCTTTAGTCATTTGACTGAATTTTTGATACTGAAAATCTTCTCTCAAATGCTAGTACGTGAATAGTGCACTTCATGCCATATATCCTAACGTTCACATGTCTACTTTCATATGAGAAATCCCAGTGTCTCCTCTCCGGTTCTTAGCTGCGTGGTTCTGTCCCACCACCTCAGGTGTTTAAGCTTTCTCTTCAAAGCGGAAGCTGAGGAAATTGAGGTTATGGCTGCTCCCAGACTCGTCGCTACTCTTCCTTTTCTTCGTTCTTCTCTGCGCCACTGCCTGTATAAGGTGTATCTGATATTGTTTATTCGCGCATGTTACTCTTTGTCTTCACAGACGGTCTTTTTTGCAACCAATTATCATATGGTTAGTATGAAAACACTTCTTGCTTGAAAGGATGACATCTGGTCTGCAATAGATGGCCAAAGTGGTGTTTTGCAGCTTGGCGATACCAGCTGTGGCAGGGCGGATGCAGAGAACCTTTCGAGATGTGGTGATTTGTATAGTGACTCCCTAAGCGAGCTGCAATATTGCGGGAAAAGTAATAGCAACGACGGTAGAGTGATAGGGCAGCGGCAGCCGAGTAGAAATTGGGGTTCATGAATGCAAAGCCGCTCTGTCACTATCGTCAGTGGCCCTCATTTGACGATACGGTGAGTAGAAAGCACAGCCGCGGCGTTAGGAAGGGTGAAAACAATACGTTGCGAAAAGATATTTCCAGTGTTGTGAGTAGAAGAGAATTCTACACGCTATATGTCACTGCAGTGATCGCTAGAGCCAGTTGTGTCCAGCCCCTACAAGCTCAGTGGCCTCTAGTCAAAGCGCACTCTATTGTTTCATCCACCTATGCCTTCCCTATGGCAAGTACTAATGTGAACTGAGTTATCAGCACTGCTACCAAATAGTGTCCGTGTTGAAGGCACAGGGAGTCTTTCGTGTCACTTTGGTTGCTCCAAGTCAAGCACGCCACGCCATACTATTGAATGTAACCTTACTCAGATGCTTTCCGCTCCCTCTCGAGAATACCTTGATAGGATTACACGTTGAAGCAGCCTGATTTCAAGTCGTTTAAAGTAAGAGTTTAGTTACTCTGCGCATTAGTGTGGAAGCTCTTTAAATTAACAAAAACGGGAAGAACATCAGAGAACTTTGTTGTACGAAGTGAGTAAAACGACCTGCTGAACTGCTTCCTGGCACTCCACATGGTTGGGACTTCAGCAAATGCCAAGCATCCACATCCGGAGCTTCTGTGATCGGTACATCACAAGGTCAGAGCAGAGCTTCTAAAGCAGGTCTTCAGGATTCTGGTGGTTAAAATCTTTTGTGAATTATTCGAAGAGGAAAATCCCCTCGCTGAAATGAGAGTGCAATTATGGCTGAGGCACCCTTTCGTTTCGCCCCTGCCTCAGTTCGCCTGCACAAGTTAAGTGTGCCTTCGGGCAGTCGAGCACAGTGCTCGACTAAAGCTGAGCTTTGTCGAATGACTTAGGCACTGGAGTGCATCCCCGAAGGCTCCAGGTTCAACCAACGCAAGGTTAAGGATATGATCCGCAGCTCGGTAGGACGACGCTCACTGCATGCTTGCATTACTTGAGGGGCAGCTCTTGACAAATGCCCTAGTTTCTGTTGCCTGCTGGTTATCGTTGACATGTGAATGCAACCTTGTCACGGACTATATTTCTCCGCAGTGGCGATGCCATGGTACTAAGCGTTAGCGTCCCGAACCAAGGTTCCTTAATAAAAGCGTAGCCATTGAATCTGATATATATATATATATATATATATTTATGTTAGCCGTTACATGGGTGTCCGTAGAATTATCTTCACGAAACGGGCTCCGTGAATTCCGTCCGCAATCATACTAGTCAACTACAAGGAATAACAAAGTTATTCGTCGGGATCAAAGAGCTGGAAGGAGTGACTGTTGTCTGCCTCAGTCCCCGCTTCCATGGGCAGCCCTGAGGGTCCCTCCTCCTCACTCAAGGAGGAGGGACCTTCTGATTGTTCGCGAGAAGGAAGGGATGGTTCTGGTATCACGGCTTCAGGTGAGTGTTTTCCTAGCCCACCAGAAAGCTGGTCTACCGCTTTGGTGTCCTCTTGTGCCCTGTCCTGCTCCCGCTTTTCCCGTAGGCGAAGAATCTCATTGTTCAGCAAATCAAGCGCGGGTTGGAAGCCTGCTGCTAGAAATCCCTCGCGGAGCTGCACCGACTGCGGCAAGGCAGCAGCACCCACTAGATGAATATTGCACACAACATATGTAGCCCTAAAGTGCCTGCTGCCTATGGGAATTTTGGTAGACGTTGGTTGTCTGGCTGGAATAGGCTATTTCGGGTCGACTGTGGAGGCTGCACTGCCAGCAGAGCGCAGAAAATGCGAAAAACAATCTGCTGCAAAGCACCAGAGATACCCGCAGAGGCGAGCAGACTTACACAAGCTGCCAAGAGATGCGTGAGCTCGGCGTGATAATCTGCGTCTTCAGGTCTCTCAGCACACAGACGGCCACGCAGTAGCTGCATGCAAGCGTCCCCATACCCGTAAGCATTCCTTAGGCCCCGCAACTTTTCGCTAGCACGCACTGCTGGAATTCCTCCTGCAGGAAAGTCAGTCAACTGCCTTTAGGCAGCAACTCCATAGCGTCACAGCTCACATGAATTCGCACACAAACCAGAAAGTAGGCCAGCCTAACGCAGCAAGGGTGATCGCAAAAAATACTTGTAATTTAAGGATGCACGGTTGCCCAGACACGCCTAGGCCGCGTACCAGGAGCAGCGAGTCCACATGATCCAGCATCCCTGAGTGCTCTCCGTAGAGGCCTTCAAACCAGATAGATCTCAACGTCTGCAGTCTGCGGAGTCACAAGTAAGCACTTAATCCGAAGGCTTATCCTGAAGCCGCTGCAGCTCTCGTCTCCCTCTTACGCCGGATCAGCACACAAAGAAGAGGGCGCAGGAGGCTGTGAGGCACCTCAGAGAGGGCCCTGAATTCCCCGAGAAAAAGGGTGAAACAAAAGACTGCAAGTGCCTCGAATAAGCGAGTGAAAAGACCATGAAGATCTGAAGAGAGTCAGTCACAAGAGAAAGGGAACCGGTCCGTACGTCTTGGGGTTCGCAGGCTTCCGAGAGAGGATTCGGTGAACTTTGCGTAGAGGCCCACAGACAAGGGAGATGGCAGGGGCACCTGCAAAAAAGATGCCATCCTCAGAAGTAGCCAGCATCCGACCTCCTTTCGTTTCTTCTTGCTGACCATTCTCCTCAACCCCCTCCATCTGCTGCTGCGCGCGAGGCTCTCGCTGGTGAGTTTGCTCTCGGCTTTGTTGCTGTGGATGAGCATCTTGGTACAAATGGCGAAGCGGAGGGAATTTGCTGGAGGCTGCACGGCGGGCAAGCTGGATAGCAGCCAGCAGTTCGCAGCCGGCAGCCTTGGCCAGCGCGACGAAATAGCCAACGGGGGGAGCAGAGCTGGATTCTGCCGCAGACGCCGCCCTGGCTGTGGCACAGAAATGTAGATACAGCCCGAGTTCCCCAGAGGAGGGTCGAGGGAAGCGGATGCAGCAACTGCTGTCTCTCAATGCAGGGCAAAGGCGGTGGGGGGCCCTGCAGATAGCGATCCACCCCACTCCTGCAGCCTCCATGAGCCGTGTAACATGGCGTTGCTGACCCCACGAGAAAGTTTCTGGTTCCTCGAGGAGAAATGTATGAGCCGCAGGGGGTCTCTGGGGGCCCCCCTTAAACCCCATGAGACTCTGTGCAGACACTTGTTGGTGCTGCCGGTGTGCAGCAGCTGCTCCCGATGCGGATTTGCTGCGGTTTGAAGCACAAGAGGTCACGTTGGCACCCCTTTCAATGAGCAGATGCAGCAGCTGGCGAGCCTCAGACCGCCTCTCCAAGGCTCCCATGGCCGGGCAGTAAATGTGGGTAAGTGCCCCCGAACCTCGAACAAACCATTTGAGGGCCTTAGCGGCTGCAGCGGGGGCCCCTAGAGCCTCACCGGCAAAGGCAGAGGGGCTGCGCTGAGAAACCGTCGCATTAGAAGAGGCCCCCTGAAGGGCCCCCATAAGCTCCCCTAGGGTCGTTCTATTAAGCACTGCTACGGATTCGTAGACGGCAAGGTCGGCTGCAGCAGAGGGGGGCCCACAGACGCATAGCCTGAGAGTTCGCGTGCTCCCAGCGGCAGTAGCTGCTGCCCGTAACACCAGCTCCTTGGCGCGCTGCTGTGAAGGCAACAGGGCGGACCGTCCAGTGCAACTGAGGGGGCCCCCGGATTTTACCGATTCGCCGCCTTGGGGAAGTCCACCAGGGGCCCATCCTCCTATGGGGGCAGCTGCATTGTCTTGTGGATGCTCTGTGAGGAGGGGCCCCTGCGCGTTATCCCTCATTTGCGCCCGTAAGCCGGATGGGGGCCCCTGGTGTTACTGTGATGTGTGGGGGGTGAATGGACTCCGCCGCAGCAGCAGGCCCTGCCGGAGCTAGATTACACAGGTGCCTCCAAAAGCTAGCAGTGCGCTTTGTTGCCTGACGAGGGAACTCGATGCAGGGGGGGGGATCATCTTTGGGAAGGGCTGCACAGGGGGGAAGGGGCACGTGCGAGTACAGCCGGTTTAAAGGGGGGGAACAGGCATGTAGCGGCTTCGAACGCGTTTTCTAGCAGAAATGCCTATAAGTCATTGCGTTTGGGGGAGTGCGCGCAAACCTTCTGCCTAAAGACACGTGATTACGCGCTGGTTAAGGGCTGCGAAGCGAATGTGCGGCAGCCTCTAGGAAGGCCGAGGGCGGTAGTAGGATGCCCATGAGCCTTCCATAGTAAAAGCAGAATGTCTTTTGCGTGAACGTAAAGAAATGGATGCTGCATAAATGTGGTCTTTTGAGTAGCGGGCCGCCGCATCTGTTTGTCTCGCCCCGGTGAGTGTCCAGCAGTGCCAGTTTCGCGTTGGTTGACTGCTGTATGTACGAAGAGGGAGACTTGCAGCTTTCTCTGTAAACTGAGTGAATACGTTTTAAACAATCCATAGTCCTTCCTCGTTCTTGGCGCATAATAACTTAGCAGCCTCTAAGCATCTGCCGCAGAGAGCTCGCTGCGCATATTCTGCAGAGCTTTTTCTCCCTTTCTTTACAGTCCCGCCCCTCCTTGCGAAAGTTTCAACTTCGCCCCCTACTTCTTGTATTTTGCGTCCAAGTACGTTTGGCAAAACAGGCAGCGTATTGCTTTGGCCGAAACAAGCAGCGCATCAGGAGGTCTAGAGTTCTCAGGCTTGCTGCTACGGGAGAAGCAGCTCCAGAGAGGACCTGGTTGCGTCTTTCCCACGCATTGCTGCATTATTTTTGCGTCAGAGATGACGGCCTCAGGGGGCGTAGTAGCCCCTCTTCTGTCGAACCTGGGGTCTGAGTGTCTTAGTCCTGCGGATGTTTTCGAAAGGGCTTTTTCCTTCCCTCCTCCCATCCTCTCCACTTGCCCCTCTGTACGGAGGGGACTCACTCGGTGCACCTGCCATGGAGGCCTTTGTGTGGATTGGCATGCTGTGCGCAAGGAGCAGCACAACAGGAGGAAGCACATTACACTGCTGAAGGATCCCCTCAAGACCCTCGCTTACAGCACCCTTGCGGCATGCAGTTTCTTCCACAGGGCGGTGCGCTATGTGGCTTCGCATGTGTTGACCCTTTGGCTGCTAGTGGCTGTTACAGCAGTATCCGTCGCTGCGCAGATGGAGGGTCCACACAACGGGGTCATTCAGGATTTGTGGATTTGGTTGAAGGTTGTTGTTTGGTGGGCAGGTTTGGGGGTATTAAGTTCCATTGGACTGGGCAGCGGCATGCACAGCGGCCTTTTGTTTCTCTTCCCTCATATTTACTCCATTTGCGCCTCGGCAGAGGCTTGTGGGAATACCGACTTCGACCCTAGGGGGAGCATGTGGCAGTCTGTCTTGAAGCCTGGGGAGGTGTTCCCTTGCCTAGCGCCTCTGCCAGAAACAGAATTAACGACGGCACGCCTTCCTTTTCTGTCAGTTCTGCACAAAACTCTCCCTTACGCCTTGCTGTGGGGTTTGGGAACGGCCCTCGGAGAGCTGCCGCCGTATGCAGCGTCGTACGCTGCAGCCAAGGCGCACCAGTCAGATGCCGAGTTCGAGGAACTAGAAGGGGAGGTAAAGGGGGGAGACAGCTCGCTTGTGACGCGAATGAAGAAGTGGACCTTGGATCTAGTGCAAAAATACGGGGCTGTTTCTGTTTTTCTCCTCTCCTGTTGGCCAAATATGCTGTTTGATCTCTGCGGACTTGTTTGTGGACACTTCATGATGCCTTTCCATGAATTCTTTATTGCTTTGGTGCTCGGGAAGGCGGTTGTGAAGGCCACGTCTCAGGCAGCCCTTTTCGTCTTCCTCTTTTCATCCCAGTACGATGCAATGCATGCACACATCATTGCCAGCCTGGCCGATATTTGGCCATTTTCGTCTATTCTCTCGCGCTACTTTGGATCATCTGCGGAACTGGAGACTGCAATGAACCGAGAACTTCACAAACTTAGACACGGAGTTGCAGGCGGCGGCAGCAGTGGCAGTGGAAGAGGCTTCAGCATCTCAACCATCTTCTCGTACATTGTTGTTGCCTTTGTTGTGTGCTTTGCACTAGCCTGTGTCGAGCAATTTGCACAGCTTCACCGGAAGAAAATTGACGACAAGCTCAACGAAGACATGCAAAATTTGCTGCAGGACCGCACTCCTGCTACTAAATGAGCGTACAATATCGCCTGTAGCGACGGGAAAACCAGCAGCAGCGGCTTCTACTGCGGGAGCAAGCATCTTTTCGAAACTTTATGCATCGCTGGTGTCCCAACGAGGCTTCAGCAGAAGCTGCAGCATTAGCATGTAGCTAAGCGTATAGTTAACGACTGGTGCTTCATGGGTTGTCTTTCAACTCTTTTAAGAGTAGATAGGGCAGAGGAGGCGCTGGCAGGCTGCTCTTGGTGCGCAGCTGCCTACGCTGCTGCTATTGGCGTATACCGGCGGTTAGGCTGCGGCTAAGAACCCGCCGTGGCAGAGCCGACACACGGATCGCTTATGGGGTGAGGGTTTCTCATAAAGGGGGCGTTGCACTGAGTCGAATCCTGGTGCATTTGAGGTCTCCGCATCTATTCCTCAGTGCAACTCGTTCTGTGGGTCTCAAATTTGACCATAGTCTTTCGCCAGGGAGGGTTTTCGAGCAAGTGTAGCGCATTTGAAGACGGCAGACTTACTAGCTATTGCACCAAAGTCTTACATGCGGAGCTACAAGTAGTCGTGGATAGAACGAGGAATTGCAAGAGGCAGGAAGGGGCACCTCCAGGGAGGTGTGCTGACATCGCGTGGGTCTTTCCGGTGTACTTGCAGCTTGCTTGCTCCCGTGGTGAGCCTTTCACGACGACTGCATGAAAGATTACTTGAATGGGCCTCGCATTTAGCATCAACAACTCCATAACAGCCTTCAAGCACATCCTATGAGACGGGAAGGCGCAATGAACGCGACGCAACGGTGTGCAGAAAGGCCCTCTTCTAGAAAATATCCGAAAAGAAAAGCAGGCACGACAATGTAGGCGCTGGAATGAAAAGAGACAGAGAGCTTAGCTCATTGCTCTCGTTTTTTTGTCTCTAGTTGTGTCTGCCGCATTTATCCCCTTTAGGGAGTCCGACTATCGAGTCTCCACATGCGCAAATCGAAGTGCCTCTGCACTTTGCATCAGTGTCCAAGGAAGCGTCGGACTAATCGACTGCTGCGTGCTAGGCAGTGGCACTTTCCAACATTTTCGTGATCCCGGAGTAACGCTCAGTGGATTGCAGGGCAGAACTTAACTCCACGCGCACTACAGCCTATATAATACATTTTTGATATTTTTCTAAGAGAAGTTTTAGCCTTCACCTGTTTGCGCCCCTGAGTGCTCCTGCTACAAGGGTAGAGGGGCAGCTAGAATGAGCGTAGCTGCACCATTTAAGAACTCAAAGAATTCGCAGCTAGTTGCACATAGCACTTAGCGTAGACGCAATGAGCATTGGCCCTCACCGTGATGAGCTGAGTCTACTCTCGGTCAAAGTAGTCAATGTGAAGAGACAAACCGATTGGTGAATATTAGACTGATTTTTAGTCTTAACTGTGCTTGTCATAGGAAGTGTTAAGTTGTAGCTTTTCCCCGCCACACCAGGGATGTTTGTTGAAGGGCATCCCACTGAGTATAAAGGGACATGACGCGTGTGATTTCCGCAATACTCATTGTGTTCCCGTCTCGAATAGCATTCTCTTGCATATGCGGTGGCTTCATACCTCAGTCCGCTGTATATCCGGACTGTAGCGCTCTCGAGCTGCACAGAAGATGATAATCAAACGTACCAAAATGAGAGTTTAGCAACAAACGCTCCTGGATATTATTTCTGTTGATGTACTCGATTTGTTAATACCAGCGTCAGCGGTGAAAGGCAATCTAATGTTCTAACAAAGACAACGAATTAAGTGCAGTGCAACAGATCAGCTCAAGAGGCTGAGGAGAGACGACGCATTTTGCGGCGGGAGATGCAAACTCTTTTAAGCATAACATACTTAAAGGTTGCCCTACAGCTGGGCATTCCGCGTGCAATCACATCGTGTTGCTGTTCATGTTAACGCTTTTTTGTGTTGGACGCCAAGCCTACAGTATACTACAATGGCGTAACACGCGACGCGCCTAGAAGGAGCTTTTTACTGCTTTCCAGGGGGCACTCCAGGCAACTGCGCAGTGCAAGCCTTCATTCTACTCATTCTTGCCGCACCAGAGGTGCTTGGTGATTCCTCTTTTGTGGTTGCTCGCCTCACAAGCGAAGGGGTCTCAGCTACCTTCTACATCGTGTAGGGTGCTCCATGTTTTGCTGTACTATTCGGAACCTCATGATTACGCTGTGCGACTGTGAGCGAAATTGAATGCAGGCAAGTGCTGTTTAACCCCCTGTGCAACCCCGCGCGGCGTGGCACGCTTTATGTGGTGCCTCGAAATTACGGGCTTCCCGCCATCGTGTCTATCATTTTCATGAGGCAGCTCAATGCTTGTTGCCACAAGAGCCACTAAGCAGCGATTTGGTCTGCCCCTCCATCTGCTCCCTTGCTCAAAGAAAGCAACGCATGGTTACGCATTCCTGATGCAGCTATACACCAGCTGTTTCTGTCAGTAAAAAATAGTTTTAGCTGCTTAAAGCGGCCCAATCTTGAATATGAATTACATGAGATGAATAAAACAAACGGGAAGCTTGATGCAATACATTTGGTAGTCTTACAACGCAGGCGAGACACGACCTGCAAAGTGTGTGGAAGCAGATAAGGGGCTTCCAGGAGGCAGACTATACTCCACTAAGCCGCGGAGACTCCGTCCTTGTTGGGCGCGTTTCTGCTAGCGACAAGAATGACCAGATCCTTAAGAGCCTCTTCCTTATTATTGTTGTGCCTGGCGAGAGCCCTGAGCAGTCGCCAATAAACGTTGTTTTCGCTACCTGTCGTGACTCATGGAAGCATAAAACACCTCAGAGAGCACCAAATGGCAAATGCTTGCGGCGAGAGAGCATGGGGAAGGGGAAGAGCACGCAATCTTACTTGCTAATTTCCCCGTACTGCAGCTGGGGAAGCACCTGCTTGATTTCAAGGACTAAAACTGGCTCTGCCTCTACAGTTGTTTTCCCTCCGCGCTTCTGCTTTTCCCGTTTGCTCTTTTTCTTTTGTTGTGCTCCTTCGCCATCTGAAAAATCACAACAGCAAATGGGATCAGCTGTGGCAAAGTGCAACTACATAGCTCTTTTCCGACAATTGTGCATATGTTTGTCAGGTACGCAAAAAGGCCGATTTCAGAGCAGATGAAGGGCCCACCACTGTCGCTACTTCTCCCGCTGCTGCTGCTGGTCTTTCTAGCCCTTGGAGAACTTGAAGTAATAGCTGTTTCCTCAACTTCTTGTTCTAATGGTTGCGGCGGTAGTGCTGAAGGCTGCCCAACAGGCGGCGGCTGTTGCAGCTGCATTTGTGAACCCATCATCCCTTGATCCTGCCACTGCTGCTGCTGTTGCCATTGCTGCTGCTGTTGCTGCCAAAGTTGCTGTTGCTGCCAAAGTTGCTGTTGCTGCCACAGTTGCTGCTGTTGCTGCCACAGTTGCTGCTGTTGTGCAGCTTCCATCTGCCTGGCGTAATCTTGGGCAGAGACACCAGGGCCTAGCTTAATAACTTGTACATGCTGATGTTCTGGAACATGTGTCTGTGTGAGAGGGGGAAGGAGGAGCAGAATCAGATGAAGAGCGGCACCAGTATTTTGCTTCGTGGTCAGACTGATCGGGTACCATCGATCGACTGAAGAGGCCAGCTGCGCACGAACACGCCCAAAGTTCCATATTACAGAAGTGTTACTATGCCGCGCAGAGAAGCAGAAGAAGCGATGTGAAAAAAGTGATGTGGTTCGCCTTACAGCACCAATGCAAAAGCGGGCGAAAGGAAGCCTCATCCCTAGTTGGATTTAGCGTAAAGGGAAACGCGTTAAGGATTAGCAGGACAGGGGAAATGCTCATGCACGCCAAGAGCCAGAGTTCGAAGCCGAGCGCTTGAACTGCTAGGTGATCCGCAGTCTAGCTGGCACCCGCCCCGCCTACGCGGTAGCCTATGCGTCATGATACATGCATGTCCTTTAAATGCGAAAACGCTTAAAACTTGTGCTTGGTTGTATCGCCTTTCTCTGCAGGATTCGGGCCAGTACCCGAAGACCACTACTCGCGCTTTTGGGCATACAGGAAGCTCCTGTAGATTTAAGTCGACGACGCCTAACAGCACGTTCCTTAAGATCTTGTTGTAGTCCCAAACCTCAAAACGGACCTTATGGGGACCTGCTGACTTCTGTAGCGAAAACGGAGATGCCAGAGGCTTTCAGTAAATGGCCTCCACTTGGCTGTTGTAGTACTGTATGCAGTGAAAAGAGAGGATGCTGCTACCGTGCCGCTAACCCCAAAGCACTGCACTCTCTACGAGCTAACCAACATGGAAGTAATAACTCTGAGTAACTCTTCCTGAGGCTGAGATAACAGGTATCCTGAGATCTGTAGGCTCACATTGTAGTTCATATTAACAAGAAAGTTCCATTTGGGGGAGAGCGTTTTCTTGATGACTTCTGTTTTGAACTCTGCGCCCTTATACTTCACCTGTTAACAGCCCGCAAAATGCGAAACCCTACAATACCGTCCTAAGCAGGGCCCCAAAGTCCAGCTGCTCTGCTTTTTGGTAATTTTCGTGGTCGCCTTCAGAGGGCAAGGCCGCCGTATAGAGCCAGAGGACTAAGCCTTGTACATATTTATGCCGTAGTGCTGCAATTAGGGAGTGGTGGACTTTTATGCGGGATAGTCCAGCTGACGGGCAAACAAACTCACAATGACGAAAGGGTCTGAGGTCGATCCATCGACTGCAGGCAAGTCAACAGCAGCTACCACCTCAATGCGCAGCCTATGCAAGGCCATTATCACACTCTCTTTGGCCACCTTCCTAACCCGTGATCGTCCTCCTGTGCACCTCTCCCTCGGTTTCGCTACGATTTCACGTCGTTTGCTGGATGTGCCTGCCTCTGGTTCTTCGCCCCCAAGTTTTCTTTTTTAACATAACTATCTCTCCCTATTTCGCGTCAGTCTCTGTCGCGGCCTTTCTCCTGCCTGTCCTTGCGTCTCCATGAAAACCTTGTATCTCCTTTGCTGCTGCTATCGATGTTGGCGAGATCGAT